CTATAATATAGATGGTAAGTAATCTAGCCAAGTTTCATCCTTACCTTATTGCTCTATTCTACAATATAACCATAACAGTCTAAAACAAAGTATCTCATAGCGGAGTGGTATTGCTACCTAGGTAATCCCCTATACGAAATACCTAAGTACCCATGTACTTGCCGAGATGATCGGCTCGCGTGGCAGCACGTGGCAAATATATCCCCGGTAAAGCTTTCTTGACATCAGAGAAGGGAGATTTGCATCACAATCATTGATCGCTGTGTGTTGATCAGTCATTTTTGATTTTTGATTTGTGTATAATCATAAGACTTATCCACCTGGGAGTTTCATCACGGACTCTCTTTAATGCTCATCTTACGATTACGTCGATCTTTCCATAAAAATCCCTTCCACCCCTTTCCCGCCACACTGTGTCTTTCCCCACCAATACGACCCACCCCGTTTCGTTTTCTCCTTTCTGTGACTCTATTTCTACTCTTGCACTGCATTGGTACCTTTGCGCCTGACTCCAGCATACCCCCTTCTACCCGGACCGAGTATGTATCCCTTGGAAATTCGAGATCGCCAGCCAATACGTAGTAATCCCCACTAACAGATCAATTCTGCAGGCTGCATTCCATTCACGGGCCTTCCTACACCTACAATTTGAAACCCGCCCTCTTTCGGCGCAAAACCTCCTCTTTATAACCATATCACTTCCCAGAAATGGCCCGCCAACCCTCTCTCGACTCTGAGCGTCCCATTATGGCTCAATCGGTAAGAACTCCTCTCCCTTCTTCGTCCTCCTTCTCCCCTGCACCTACCCTGCCCGTCGCAGGGACTTTTCATTTGTTATTGAGAATCGCATAAGTCTAACCTGCTACAGAACCGAAACTCGAAGCGATTCTCCACCGTGAGTGGAAGCCCCTCGCTGGCTGCCTCCGACCGCACAAACGGCACCCTACCCAGCGGCGACCCTAGAATCGCTGACATCTTCCACCTCCACGATGGTCTCGAGCGCCTTGAGAATAAGCCTCTCAGCAAGCAGCGATTCGTCCCCACAGAGGAGAAGTCGAACAACCTGAACAAACTCGCTCTCGGAGCTAAAGTCGAGCGCGCTCTGGGCCGGAGGATGACTGGCCAAGATGCTGTCATGCGCAAGCCTCTGTCTGAGAAGACTGAGGTGCGGACTGACTAGTCCTGATGGCAACGATACACTTAAGAGACAAACGGCTTGCTATGTGTTTTGTTCGCTACATGGCTGACCTTCTCTGCCTCTCTGATCGTTCGCTTGTTTCTTGTTCCTTGTGCTTTTTTTTCCGTTCCAACATCCGAGCCTCTGTCGACACAGTTCTTATGATTGCTGTCTTTTTTTTTTTTACAGTCACCCTTTCATGTCCTATCTATCATACCCCTCTTTTTCTTTTTTTTCGGATCAGTTTGTGGCGTTTTGACTTGATGAGATGCGCATTATTTCCTTGAGTATGAACATTCGGATCTGGTATTTTCTTGCTTCTTATTTTCCATGTCTGACTGTCATGTATCTTGAATTATCATGAAAACTTTCTTCAACTACATCTACAAGAATAGTCGGCGGCTCATGCGGTCTTGTGTTGTCTTTAGAGGTTCTTTTAGATGCCTTCTTAGGTCTTTACGATCTTTTTAGGTGTATACGAAGGCCGTTAAAAAAAGCATACCTTGTGCAAGAGCCTTTCCTATTCATGGATTTACAACATTTTATAGCCTTTGATATTGGTTGGAATTCCTAACAATATATTCTTGTATACTAAGTTTGTACTATGAATTCTGCCAGGCGGTGGCCATCTGCCAAGCCCACGCGAAACCCGCACGGAGTCAAAGAGAAGGAAGTTCTTTTCTTCGAAGGCGAATTCCCACAGCTTCATTCCATCTCTTTTTTGTTTCCCATTTTCTACCTGAATCTCCCCCCACGCCACTGTCCATCTTCCAGACCCACATTTTCTCGATCTTTCTCATCTCTCTCTCAAACCCTCCACATATCCCTCTCCGCGCCAGCAGAATCGAGAACTCTTTCTCACTTCAGCTATACTTCCCGCTCTTCCGCAATCTCAAAGCGCCTCGTCTGTTTCGATTCTTTTTGTGCTTTCCTTCTATCCTCTTCATTTGATTGCATTGGTGCCTGGTCCATTTCGCATCGTGAGTTCCGATCTACCATTTCCAATTTCATCGCATGGTAAAGATGTCGAAACTAATAAGCATCCAGTGAAGCGAGGGAAACACAGACAATCTCATTTTTAGAACGCTCATCGCTTGCTTCTTTTTTTATAAAAAAAAGCCTTTCCGCGGCCATCATTTTCGCCGTGCTCGGTTACTTTTAATCTCATTTTCCACCCGAAACCAAAAGATAAAACCCCTCAATCCTACACCATGGCCGATATGACTCAGGTTCCCATCAATGGCAACTACCCTGCCCAGCACGGTTTCCCCGAATCCTACAACCATGCATCTGTCACCATGAACACTGCTGCCAGCTTCCAGCCTGCGCAGTCTTCCACCCCAACCACTGCCACCCCCACCGACCAGCAGAAGAATGAGATCTCTAAGGATGAGGTGGGCTGGTATTTCGTCGAGCAGTACTACACCACCATGAGCCGCAACCCCGACAAGCTTCACCTGTTCTACTCTCGCCGTTCTCAGCTGGTCTTCGGCACTGAGGCAGAGTCGGTTCCCGTCAGCGTTGGTTCTAAGGTGAGTTCAATTTAATCCCTCAATGCGAATGTTATCTAACCAATCCCCACTTCCATAGGCCATCAACGAGAAGCTTAACTCGTTGAAGTTCCAGGATTGCAAGGTGCGCGTCCTGAATGTCGATTCTCAGGCTTCTTTCGACAACATCCTGGTCTCGGTCATTGGTGAGATCTCCAACAACTCCGAGCCGTCCCGCAAGTTCGTGCAGACTTTCGTTCTCGCCGAGCAGCCCAACGGTTACTATGTTCTTAACGATATCTTCCGATACATGGCCGAAGAGCCAGAAGAAGAACCCGAGCAGCCCACCCCAGCTGCGCCTGTTGCCGAAGCCCCCGAGGCCGTTGCCGAGGTTCCCGCTGAGGAGCCCCAGGTGGCTGATGAAGTCGCTGTCTCCAATGTCGATGAGAAGCTCGAGGAGGTCGAGGCCAACGGTCAGGTTGAGGAGCCCGAGGAGGCTGCCCCCCCAGACCAACGGTGCCCCCGTTGAGGAGGAGACCCCCACTCCCGTTCCTGCCGTCGAGGCCGAAACCGTGAAGGACGAGGAGCCTGCCTCTCCTGAGCCCTCTCCCGTTCCTGAGAAGGAGGAGGTTCCTGAGAAGGAGACCTCAGCCGCTCCCGCTGCCCCTAAGACCTGGGCTAGCATTGCGACTACCTCTTTCGCAGCTAAGGCCGCTGCTGCCGCCAAGGCTTCGGCCGCCCAGGCTGCTCCTGCTACTCAAGCTACCCCTGCTGTCCCTGCTGCTCCTAAGGCTGCTGCTCCCGCTGCTCAGGCTACCCCTGCCGCTCAGCCCGCTGCTGCTGCCCCTGCGGAGGCTGTCCGTTCCCAGGAGGCCCCTTCCACCGAAGCCGGATGGCAGACCGCCGGCGACGGCCACAAGAAGTCGCAGCCCCGTGCTGAGGAGACCGTCCTCGCATATATCAAGAACGTCAACGATAAGGTCGACGCCAGCCTGCTTAAGCAGACCCTGGCTCGTTTCGGCAAGCTGAAGTACTTCGATGTTAGCCGCCCCAAGAACTGCGCCTTTGTCGAATTCAATGAGCCCGCCGGTTATACTGCTGCCGTTGCCGCCAACCCCCACCAGATTGGCAGCGAGCAGATCCTCGTTGAGGAACGTCGTCCCCGTGGCAACGCCTACGGCAGCAACGGCTTCCCTGCCGGCCGTGGTGGTGGTGCCGGTCGTGGTCGCGGTGACCGCGCCGGTAGCCAGGGCCGCGGTGGCTTCCAGCGTGAGGGCCGTGGCAGCTTCACTCCCCGTGGCCGCGGTGGCAACGTTGCTGCCAAGGGTCGCCCCAGCCAGCCCCAAGCTGCTTAAACACTTTACGTGATTTTGATGATCCTCTACCTTCTACTTCCCCGCCGAGGTCACGTCTCTCACAATTCCCGTGAGCATTCCTCCGGCGGATGATCTTGTCAGGATCTGTATTACTCTGATTTTGATTCTCTTTTTTCTTTTGCCCCGTCTCTTCCTAATGACATGTGTTACGTGACTATTGCCTCCCCCCTTTTTCCCGTCACAGTGCATATTAGCGGTTGGTCCGGGTTGGCTGGAAAAGTTGCGTCTCTTTCCTTCCCTCTGGGCACTTGTGTTTTAACCTGACCTTTTTTTTGCTTGGATTGGGTCTTGTCTTCGACATTCACGATTCTTCTTTTCTGCACCATATTCCTTTCTTTCAGTGTCTTCTGCCATGATCTGTTACTTGCTCCTTTTTTTCGCAAGACGTTATATCGCATCTTTTTTTTAACTAGCATAGCAAACTCCAGGGTTTTACGGTGGTGCGCCATCCCGGTCTTTCTTGTATTTTGCTTCTTTTTTATTTTCTTGGCTATGAGGATTCCCATAGGAGCCGTTCTCTTTTTGATGTGTAAATGGGATGTTCTCGGGGGATTACAACTGTATTATGGGATTATGAGCCAAATATGGATTAGAGAATAATGAATCACCAAGTTGCTATATATTACATCTACTCCGTACCATGTTCAGGACTGCCAAGATTGATACCGGGAGGACCTTGAGGGCTTACCTAATCTCGAGTCGACGAGTCATCCATCATCCGGGGAAGATTCTAGAGTTCTGGATGCCTGAGGCACTCACAGCTTGCCACTACAAATACAAAGAGAAAAAGGAGGCAAAAGCAACAAACCGGGGAAATTAAAGTAAAATAGTTTAAAAGAACCAAAAAGTAAAAGTAGAAGAGTCTAGAATAATATCGAGAGAGCTGCAGGGTTGCCTGAACGACATGGAAGTTGCTGGATCACCGTAGAAACTCTCCACTAGAAATTTTTGGAAACACAAAAGGAACTGGCCCGCCTCTTTGACTCTTTCTCTTCATCTCTCCCTTTTGCTTTGGTTTCTCCCCCCCAGAGCTTCTTTCTTTTTAATAACTTTGTGCTTTCTTGTAAGATATAAATCTCCCTCCCCTTCTTCTCGTCACCGCTTCCCAATTTCCCCTCCCCCACCGCTTGATCAGACTCTGCATCTGAATCTCTCTCCATATTCCTCAATTGCTATAAATCCATCCTTTTCTAACTCAGATTTCCTTTCAGAATCACAATCCGCCATCATGTCTGAGACCTTCGAGTTCCAGGCTGAGATCTCTCAGCTGCTCTCGCTGATCATTAACACTGTCTACTCTAACAAGGAAATTTTCCTTCGTGAGTTGATCTCCAACGCCTCCGATGCTCTCGACAAGATCCGCTACGAGGCTCTCTCCGACCCCTCTAAGCTCGATTCCAACAAGGATCTGCGCATCGACATTATTCCCGACTTGGAGAACAAGACCCTCACCATCCGTGATACCGGTATTGGTATGACCAAGGCTGTAAGTTTCTATCCTCAATAGTTGTGTCAAATCACTCTCGTTATCCCTATTTGGGCACGAAACTAATATTCATCTCTTATAGGACCTCATCAACAACCTTGGAACAATTGCCCGCTCCGGTACCAAGCAGTTCATGGAGGCTCTGTCCGCCGGTGCTGATATTTCCATGATCGGCCAGTTCGGTGTCGGTTTCTACTCTGCCTACCTGGTCGCTGACCGTGTCACCTTTGTGTCCAAGCACAACGATGACGAGCAGTACATCTGGGAGTCCGCCGCCGGTGGCACTTTCACCCTCAAGGAGGACACCGAGGGCGAGCAGCTCGGCCGTGGTTCCAAGATCATCCTTCACTTGAAGGATGAGCAGATGGACTACCTCAACGAGGCCCGCATTAAGGAGGTTGTTCGCAAGCACTCCGAGTTCATCTCCTACCCCATCTACCTTCACGTCCTGAAGGAGACCGAGACCGAGGTCCCCGATGAGGAGGCCGAGGAGACCAAGGAGGAGGACGATGAGAAGAAGCCCAAGGTCGAGGAGGTCGATGACGAGGAGGAGAAGAAGGAGAAGAAGACCAAGACCGTCAAGGAGTCCAAGATTGAGGAGGAGGAACTTAACAAGACCAAGCCCATCTGGACCCGCAACCCCGCTGATATCACCACTGAGGAGTACGCCTCCTTCTACAAGTCCCTCTCCAACGACTGGGAGGACCACCTCGGTGTCAAGCACTTCTCCGTTGAGGGTCAGCTCGAGTTCCGCGCTATCCTCTTCGTTCCCAAGCGCGCTCCCTTCGACCTGTTCGAGACCAAGAAGACCAAGAACAACATCAAGCTCTACGTTCGCCGTGTCTTCATCACCGATGATGCTACCGACCTCATCCCCGAGTGGCTCAGCTTCGTCAAGGGTGTTGTCGACTCTGAGGATCTTCCTCTCAACCTGTCCCGTGAGACTCTCCAGCAGAACAAGATCATGAAGGTCATCAAGAAGAACATCGTCAAGAAGACCCTTGAGCTCTTCGTTGAGATCTCCGAGGACCGTGAGCAGTTCGACAAGTTCTACCAGGCCTTCAGCAAGAACATTAAGCTCGGTATCCACGAGGACGCCCAGAACCGCCCCACTCTGGCCAAGCTCCTCCGCTACCAGTCCACCAAGTCCGGTGACGAGCAGACCTCGCTCGCTGACTACATTACTCGCATGCCCGAGCACCAGAAGAACATGTACTACATCACTGGCGAGTCCATCAAGGCTGTTGCCAACTCTCCCTTCCTGGATACCCTCAAGCAGAAGAACTTCGAGGTTCTCTTCCTGGTTGACCCCATTGATGAGTACGCCTTCACCCAGCTGAAGGAGTATGACGGTAAGAAGCTCGTCGACATCACCAAGGACTTCGAGCTCGAGGAGACCGAGGAGGAGAAGACCGAGCGCGAGACTGAGGAGAAGGAGTTCGAGGACCTTGCCAAGGCCCTCAAGAACGTTCTCGGCGACAAGGTCGAGAAGGTTGTTGTCTCCTCCAAGCTGGTTGGCTCCCCCTGCGCCATCCGTACCGGCCAGTTCGGTTGGTCCGCCAACATGGAGCGTATCATGAAGGCCCAGGCCCTCCGTGACACCTCTATGTCCTCTTACATGTCTTCCAAGAAGACCTTCGAGATCTCTCCCAAGTCTCCCATCATCAAGGAGCTTAAGAAGAAGGTTGAGGCCGATGGCGAGAACGACCGCACCGTCAAGTCCATCACCCAGCTTCTCTTCGAGACCTCCCTGCTTGTCTCTGGCTTCACCATTGAGGAGCCCGCCAGCTTCTCCGAGCGCATCCACAAGCTCGTCTCCCTCGGCCTGAACATCGACGAGGACGAGGCCGCTCCCGCCACTGAGGCCGCTGCTCCCGCCGAGGCTACCGGTGAGAGCACCATGGAGGAGGTTGATTAGATGATTTCAATCAACTTTCGTTATTGCTAATTTTAAGTCTTACGGGAAATGGGAAACGGGATACGACCCTCTGTGATGTTTTTTATCTTTTCATTTTTATGTGTTCTACAATAAGAACCAGCATCTCTTTTTATTTCGGTCCAAAGCACAGTAGACTGTAGTGTAGTGTCTTGCTTTTAGTCAAGACAATTGTAGACTTTAATCGTACTTCCAAAACATCTGAGCACTTGATCTCAACACATCCACCTGGACAGTATTCATAGATGACATTCCCTCAACCCTCCTTCCAATACAAACTTCATTTCCCCCTAAACCCTCTTGCGCTACTTCCTATGGATTTTAAGATGACCGCACCTTTGCCTCGCTTCCTGAAGAATGACAATGTCAAGTAAGTAAGCTGGAGTTTCCAGCTCCAACTCTGTCAAACCAGATCGATCCAGTTGACACTCGTTCATACTGTTACCAAATACTCCAAATGCAGCCTCTGTTCTATTATAATATATATTTATAATCCCATTATACATGTATCAATTGGGCGCGTAACTCAGTTGGTAGAGTGTTCGCTTTGCATGCGAAAAGTCCAGCGTTCGAATCGCTGCCCGTCCATTTCATTTTTTTTCTTTTCGTCTTTTTATCCAAGCACCCAGCACCAAATTAACAATCTTGGCCTAGAAAACTATCCTGTCTGATTTTTTGGGGTTCAATTACATGCTTTCTAGGTTTTTTTTATTTATTAATGGTATGCGAGAGAATTTAGAAGGGTTTGATTCCTTACTAGGAATACAAAATTCCTGATCAACAACTCAACCGATAAATATATATTTTGCAAGAGAAGGAGGAATTGACCATGTTTCCTGACAATTATATAATACAGCTGCGTCCCTTTATTAGACTACTTGGAAACACTAACTATGGCATACTTTGTATCCTAGGTTAATAACGTGGCACTTGTGAATTGGCCCTCAAGAGTATTTTCATACCTTCTAACCCTCTAGTTATTTATACAGTAGAATATAGTGGAAGGCTGAACAGTAGGCCTTTTATTGGGCAGTCCTAAATGTGGTTATCAGGTCACAGAATTGAATTATACCATATGTATGATCTATCATATATCCATCTATCTATAATCCTAATCATTATCATCCGTGGTTTTACATAAATGCTTTTTACCGTCTTCGTATATACCTCAAAAGATCACCCAAAAAGACAGGACAAGGCCCACAAGCGGCGAACTATTCCCGTTACGGAGTATATGGAAAATGGACTGTAAAAATTGAGTTGCTGGCCACATATATTCTAAAGTTTACTGCTAGTTGTCTTTTTCAAAAATTTATTGTTCTAGCTACGTGTATGTATAACACCAATAACCTGGAGAAGCGCTCGGGGGGAATATCCAAAAAGATATTATAATGTGATCTTTAATACGGAGTATAACGTCTCTATTTATCTAGAATCAACTAGATATGTATGTATTCAGACCGGGCAGGGTACATTGTATACACTTTCTTATAACACTGAATGTACGTACATGCACTAAAAATAAAAGGAACAGGCAACAGTGATTCGCTGGTCACCACGAACCCATCGGGTGTGGCTTAATTATGGCTTATGTGCACTAGTTGAGCGAATGAAAGATCTCCATCGTTCGGACTGAAAAATGGTTAATATTTTGCCGAAGAAATTCCTATTGGCTTGGCGCTCATCATCTAGGTAGTTCGAGGATATCACGTGGAGGTAGAGAAAATTTAGGCAGCGAAAAGGGGATCCATGGATAAAAACAAAATCGTTATTTCCACTTCTAATGCGTCGGTGGGAGAACACAAAAGCCACCAAATATGTATAGGCCGACCTCCAGAAATGAATGGTGGTTGTGTAGCGTGTTGTTCACGCAGGCTATCTTGGTCATTGCCCTTGAGAGGTACGCTCTCCCTATCTTCGTCCGAGCTACCCTAACAAAACGTCAGCTATATACTTGTGGAATGGCAGTTATGGGTTACTCCTAAGATAACCCAGGTGCCGGTATCCTACATGATCCCAATCAATCTGGGCATTCTAATATTCGCCTCTGTCTACGAGTTTATCCTTGCCCTGGATGCGATCCATCATAAGAACAATGTTCTTCTCTTCTCAATTTGCATCTGCAATATTTGCAGCTTTGTGTACTCTGTCATGCAGTACACACTGATGGAAGAAAATACCGCGAGGCTATATGCCCAGCGTTATGGGTTTCCGACTCTAGTAGATACCACTCGCAACGTCTGGCCCCAGATCCGGCCAGCTGAGATCCTAGTGTCTATTATTACAGGATTGTGCAGTCTGATTCTGTGCTTGTTTGTATACTTCTTGCATCGGGAGTATTCGTGGGTCATTTACAAGTCCGTTCATGGCAGCTCGAAAACACGAATGCGTTATCTGTTCTACGAGGTAATCCTCACCTACTGCTTGATTGTTCTTTGAACAAATCTCGAGCATCTACGCTAACAGAATGCAACCATAGATTTTCCTGGTTCTGATAAAACTCCTCTTTTACTTCTTGTTGGGTTTCATCATCCAATACAACCTGGTGTTTATCCACTTTAAGGAACCGGAGTATACCCTCACGATGCTCCTCATTCCGGTCGCATTTATCGTTATGCTACTTGGTATCTGGGTTGTCCAACACGAACGAACCATTGGCGTGGTTGGTATCATTGTGAGTTCTCTTGCTTCCTTCCTCCCTGCCCGCCAGACCTCCACAAGGAACTATCACTGACCTCTTACAAGATATGCTACCTTGGTCTACTCGCATATCTCATTAGCCGCATCATCATTCTCTTTGGGGCTAGAACCGCTGGAAAGGACATGATGCTGTTCTTTGCATTCATGTCTGTGGTGCTGACTTCTGGAACGGTTTTATGCACCATTGTCTGCATCAAAAACTTCGACCGAGGCTTCATAGTCATCAATAACTCGAAGAACGGCTATGCACAAGAGTCATATTCCGTACCCACCGGATATTCCCTAACAGAGCCGCCTCGTTCATTTTCCCGGCCTTCCTCGCGGCTCACGCTTGATTAGGATTGCATTTTCAAATTAGCAGATTTAACAAACCATACAACATAATACCAAGAGATTCCCCAGACGCTTTGGTTTCTCGTACATTACTTGCACAATGTACTGGGGTGACGTGAGTAGAGTTATTTGGCTTGAGTGTTGTTATCTAGGTCACCTGGGCAGTTTAAACGTGCTTACTTTAGGGTTGGTTTGGAAAAGCTATAGGATTACCTTATGCGCGGTAACCGACAATGGCCTCCAGACTTGGGTATCATATGATAATACCACCAAATATCACCAAATATCACCAAATACCGAGGCAGGACGCAGTTGATGATAGCATCGGCAATTCTTACGCAGCTATCAAGTTCGCCTGCCATAATGCCGCCGATCCTAACCAAAAGGGCATTATGCGTATTTATATCCAAACTCCTATCGCCATGATGGATGGGGATATTGTTGCGATAATGGATCGTCAAGGGCTTCCAAGCCTCTTCCCGCCTATTCTCAACTCGGTTTCCCAAGTTGATCTCTAATTAGCACTATAAGATATGCATTGACATTCGAGTTGATTGCACAACAACTTCCAGATACGTTCTTCATTTCGACCGTAAAGCTCCAAGTCCACACCCCCCTCTTGGAGAGTTTTCAACCAAACCTTCAAGGCTATGTCAAAGAAATCTTTTAGGTCCTCGGGGTCATATTCCGACTCGTAGTACCCCCAATAGAACTCCAGGAAAGGAGTCATGCCATCAACGTATTGATGAATATCCACATGCGCATCCAAACTTCTTTTGACAAAGCTGCCCCATAAACTTACCAGCAGTTTCGGGTCTTCCATAACTGCAGATGCTGTATATTCGTATCGAGAATGTTGTTGCATGCAACCCATAATTCTCGCTGCAAGGTGGACTAGGGTGGTCATTCTTCGTATGTGCTGTGAATAGCACTCATATTGGCAAACCCCGGCTTCCAAAATGTCTTGTCCTATGATTGTTTGAATAAGCTCAGGTTTGGGAAACACGAAACATCGTGTATCTGCAACTGTAACCGCCACTCCGATACGTTCTGACAGTGGTAGTTCGTAGAAGAACTGACAGCAGTTCTGCTGCAAGAGCAAAAAATTTTCAACAGGACCATGAAAAATCATGAGGAGTTCGTGAGCATTCCTTTCGGTAGGATCTTCAATAGTATCTAGATGAGGAAGCAGCACACGCGTAACTGGAATCCGAGATCGAGAATTGCATCCTATCCATCCGAGATATAGTAAGCTGTGAAGCACTGTGTACCCAGGAAAATATTTTAATGATCCTTGTTGAGATGCTCTTTGGTCCAAAAGGAATTCGACCATTTCCGCTACTGCTGTGTCCACCGTGTGCATTTCATGTATGTACTGGCGCAACTATGTTAGTAGTCCCGCTTAACATCAGGTACCTCCATGCCATACTAACATGGAATAGTGACTTCCCCCAAGGGTACTTGTCATCAGCAACAAGATCAAAGGGTGATGCCTTCCTGGAGGTAAACCAATCTCGAACACCCTTGACATCACCTTTCTTCACAAGTTGGACGACTTTTGAACTGCTTGGCACTAGATTATACGTGCGTAACATCCAATTCCATCCACCAGGAGCTTTCATGCCGGATATCTCTAGAATTTTGGAGGTCATCCAAGATGGTAAACCAAGGCGCCAATGATTAGTGTAACCGCGGTTTCCCTTCGGTATTCTGACTTTATTGTCTGTTGTATTATGCTTAGTTCCATGTTTAGATCTTTACCTCGTCGATGGTTCCAGAACAAATAGTCAAGGGTGCAAACTAGCGGTAGTTGAAGAAGGATAAGGATCTAGAGGAGTTTTTAAACCGTAATTGACGGGGGCTACCTATGTAATTAGGTCTGATGTGAATGTTCCATAACCATAAGATTCGAGAATTTCCCTGTCAGTATCATGGACGTTATAAGAATTATTGGTTTGTAATACCATAACAGCAAGTGTGGCCGAGTGGTTAAGGCGCTGTGTTTAGGTAATCATATAAATGACTACAAATCCGCAGTTCTAACGAGCGTGAGTTCGAATCTCACCGCTTGCAAAATCTTTTTTTGCCCCTCCAACCATAGATAGAAAAAAACGCCAGAATAGGAGGGGGAAGGATACGTTAGCGGTGGAGGATTATTATGGTATAGAATAGTGGTGTTCAGGGCATTCAGGTGAATGGGCTGAATGGACTAAAGAGTAGGGCGGTAAGAGGGGATTTTCACCGGCATGTGGTGTACTCTCGTTGAATACTATATGAACCTTCCATTTGAGTTGTATGTAATACATAGGATTAGGGCCCTTTAATCATGTTCACAGAGCATGCGGGCTTTCCGGTCTGTAGGAACGATTCTAGATTATCCCAGGTTTGTCTTTCAAAATTGGCCCAACTCGTCTTGGAACAAACTCCAATATGAGGTAGCAAAGTCACCATCCAGTTCTCTTTCAGTTTCTCGTGAACCACAGGTTCATTTTCGTGCACATCAATTCCTATGCCAACCACTTTGCCCGTCTCGAGAGCCAATACCAAGGCATCTTCATCGATCATTTTGCCACGAGCAATATTCACCACTCGGAGGCCAGTATCTTTGGCCACCTGGAACTGCTTGTGGGAGAGGAGATGATGCGTACTCTGGGTGTAAGGTGCAGCAATGACAATGCAATCAACATCAGAAATCATGCCTGTCAGATCAGCATAGTACTGCGCACCACCTCCAAGCCTCATTTCCGCTTCCTCTTTTCTTCTCGGGCCATGATATGCAATTTTCATCCCCAGTGCATTTTGGCACTTTTCAGCAATTGCAAGCCCAATGTCACCCAGACCGACCACACCCAACATCATCCCGGCCGGATCGACTGCCTTCAAGCCTAGCTCTCGACTCTTCTGCCAATCGTATCTTGCACACCACTGTGCAAAGCTCAGATAGCGGAATGTCTCCAGCACTAATACGAGTCCGGTGTTCGCAACAGCCTCCGTGCATGCATTTGGCGTGTTGCAGAACCAGACTCCCCGGTTGGTTAACGCATCGATGTCTGCTGCATCATATCCGTGTCCACTACAGCAGATAAGTTTCAGGCTAGAAGGAAAGTGTGGGATAACTTCGCTGGCGAATAGGCGATGAGATGCGTATGGCCCTGCTTTCAGCCAGCCGGTGCGGACAATGGCGCAGATGTTGCTATACAGACCGCCAGGTTGAAGGCGAGCAATAAAATCGTCGACGGAAGCACAATCATATTTTAGAATTGATACTTTTTCGGAGAGAGTCTGGCGTCGAACATGGTCGATTTGCTGGACAGTAGATTCAACCAACAGGACAGTCGGGATTTCCGCCATAAGTCGCGTTTTAGTCCAGCAAAGAAGGTGTTGTTTTCTTTTTACACACGCCTTACACACACACGAACGGATAAGGTATGACATGTTTATCTCTGCTGATATCTCTACTGATATCTCTACCTAAGTACTGATATGCTTGCATGGCAGTTTATCGGCGTTATCACACATCTGCGCGGGGTTCGGCTTCTTGCTGGACTTGCCGGTCGGGGATCACTGGCTGTCCCGGCCCTCACCTCCTCCAGCCGAGTGGGTCTACGATTGCACAGTGCACCTCATCGGCTTTTGCAGGGTAAGCCACTGGCTAGCGGCTTCTATTCCGAGATTCGCAATGCGGAGTAGTCGCAATCTTCGTGTCCCTTGGTTGTTACCTGGCCATTATAAACAGCGGTTGTTCATCAGGTAACTGCTGTTGGAATTACCGACTTTTACATCCTGATAATACAAATACAAGATGACGAAAGCTGGGATCCGGATTGCTATCGATCGAGGGGGTACTTTTACCGACGCCTGGGCTCAAATCCCAGGACATGCCTCCGATGTCATCTTCAAAGTCCTATCCGAATCTCCCGATGAATACGATGACGCACCTACAGAATGTATTCGACAGATTCTGGAAATTGCAAGTGGCTCTCCGGTGCCTCGAGGGACCCTTCTGGATCTGACTCCCGTTGAGTCCATCCGAATGGGCACCACGGTTGCTACAAATGCCCTGCTTGAGCGAAAAGGCGAGCAAGTCGCCCTTTTGATTACAAAGGGCTTCCGCGATCTACTTAAAATCGGCAACCAGGCTCGCCCCAACATTTTCGATCTATCAGTTCAACGTCTTGCCCAGCTCTACGAGACGGTTGTGGAAGTCGATGAGCGAGTCACCATCGAAGGGTTTTCAGAAGACCCAAATCCTAAGCCCATTGATGTCAATTCAGATTCAGATTTGCACATGGGTTTAACAGGAGAACCCGTACGGATATTGAAGACGCCAGATCTAGACGCGGTTCGAAGTGACCTCTACACGCTTTGGAACCAGGGCTATCGCTCTGTAGCTGTAGCCCTGATGCACTCGTATACCTTCCAAAAGCACGAGCTTGCTGTAGCGGCCGTAGCTCGAGAGATTGGTTTCAAAGTGGCCGTTTCCTCAGAGCTGCAAACAATGGCAAAGTTGGTCCCACGCAGTCAATCGGCCGTTGCGGATGCCTATCTTTCACCGGTGACTCAAAAGTACCTGGATGGATTCCGGAAGGGGTTCCAGGGTGAACTCAGAGATGAACATGCTAAGAAGGTGTTTGTCAACCAGTCTGATGGAGGACTTACATCTATCGCAAACTTTTCTGGTTTGCGCGGAGTGCTCAGCGGACCAGCTGGTGGTGTTGTTGGTATGTCCAGGACGTGCTATGACGCCGAAGACAAGACACCGATATTGGCGTTCGACAGTAAGTTCTGAATTTTACATATTAGGATGACCATCCTGCGTTTGAACCGCTACTGACACGACACAGTGGGTGGTACAAGTACCGATGTCGCTCGGTATGCTGGGGCCCTTGAACATATATTTGAAAGCACAATTGCACAAGTCACCATCCAGACACCACAGCTGGATATCAACACCGTCGCTGCAGGGGGTGGGTCGATGCTCTTCTGGGAGAATGGGCTGTTCAAAGTCGGGCCTCATAGCGCAGGCGCTCATCCTGGCCCGGCATGCTACGGGCGAGGGGGTCCCTTGACGGTGACCGATGCTAATCTCTTCCTTGGACGAATCATCCCCGACTACTTCCCCCGGCCCCTAGACCTGGCTATCGTGAAGGAAAAGTTTTCTGCCTTGGCGGCCACCATCAACGCAGAGAAAGATGGACTATCTCAGCTGACCGCAGAAGAGGTTGCAGTGGGTTTCCTCTCAATCGCAAATGCAACCATGACTCGCCCCATTCGAACATTGAGTGAAGGCAGAGGGTTTGAGACCGCTGCACACAATCTATGCTGCTTTGGTGGAGCCGGTGGTCAGCACGCGGTTGCGATTGCGCGAGACCTCGGTATTCGACGAGCCCTGATCCCGAGATACTCGAGTATTTTATCTGCCTACGGAATGGCTCTTGCGGATGTGGTGGTTGAGAACCAAGAGCCTGAAGCTGCTGCCTTCACAGTTGATAATATCCCTAGACTTCAGGAAAGGTTTGAGAGATTGCAAGATGCGGGTATCGCAGGACTTGTTTCTCAAGGATTTTCAAAGTCGCAAATTGAGCACGAGTTATTCCTGAATATGAGGTACCAGGGCAGTGACACAGCTTTGATGATACCACGACCAGTCAAATTTGAAGAGTTTGGTGATGCTTTCGCCGCTCGCCATGAACAAGAATTCGGATTCACACAGCCCCGGGAGATCCTCATTGATGATGTTCGTGTGCGGAGTATTGGAAAGGGTATGGATGTCGCCCTTTCTAGCGCTTGCGCAGAAATGAAGAAACTTGCAGACTCGCCCCCTGCCACCCCGGTTGCTCCCGAGAAGAATATCAAGGTCTATTTCGAGCAAACCGGCTGGCTTGATATCGGGCTTTATTCACTCAAGGATCTATCTGTTGGTACGCGCATCAGCGGTCCGGCTATGGTCATCGACAAAACTCAGACAATCGTTGTGGATCCTGCCAGTGAAGCTGTCATCTTGCCTGAACATGTGGTGATTGAGATCTCTGGAATAGAAAAGCCGGAGATCAGCACCGATGCTGTGGATCCTGTCCAGCTCAGTGTGTTCGGACATCGATTCATGAGTGTCGCCGAGCAAATGGGCCAGACCATGCAAAAAACCTCAATTTCGGTGAACATTAAGGAGCGACTGGACTATTCATGTGCCGTATTTTCTGGTGAGGGCAGTCTCGTCGCAAACGCCCCTCACATTCCTGGGCACCTGGGCTCTATGAGCTATGCCATCGCATACCAAGCGCGCCTATACGGACCTGGAGAGTTGAAACCCGGCGACGTCATTCTCAGCAACCACCCTAGTGCTGGTGGTACACATCTTCCAGACCTGACGGTCACTACACCCGTCTTTGATGATGACAAAAACCCGACAAAAATCCTATTTTTCGTCGCCAACAGAGGGCACCATGCAGATATTGGCGGCATTCAGCCAGGTTCCATGCCCCCCAACTCAACAGAGCTTTGGCAGGAAGGTGCAGCTGTGGAGTCTTTCAAGATTGTAAAAGAAGGAGTCTTTGATGAGCCGGGCCTTCTTGAGGTCCTGGTTGATATCCCAGCTTCATATCCGGGTTCGAGTGGCACTCGCACACTGCGCGACAACATTGCCGATCTTCAAGCCGCAATCGCATCAAACAACAAGGGCATTCATTTGATTCAGTCCTTGATCAAGGAATATACTTGGCCAGTAGTTGAGTTTTATATGAACGCAATCCAGGAGAATGCCAGCCAGTCTACGCGTGGGTTGCTCAAGATTATCGCGCAGCGATTTGAAGGACAACCCCTGGAAGCTGTCGACTACATTGATGATGGGACGCCACTCGCATTGAAGATCACGATCGACCAAGAGACGGGCGATGCAGTATTCGACTTCACAGGCACTGGTCCTGAGCATTTCGGAAATTTGAACTGTCCACCAGCAATCATGTATTCTGGGATCATGGTAAGTGCAAGCTTTTGTCCGAGACATCCAAGTTTTGAATACGAGCAAGTCATTCTAACCGAATCATATAGTACTGTCTTCGATCAATGATCTCAACAGATATCCCTCTCAACCAAGGATGCTTGAAGCCTATCAAGCTCGTATGTCCACCCAACACACTCCTATCGCCTTCGCTCAAAGCAGCGACCGTGGGATCAAATGTGGAGACATCACAACGCATTGTCGATTTGATCTTCAAAGCCTTCCGTGCAGCTGCCGCATCACAAGGGACATGCAACAATCTCACCTTTGGCTATGGTGGCACAAATCCAGACACCGGCAAAGTGGTCAAAGGGTTCGGATACTATGAGACCATCGCTGGTGGATCCGGTGCTGGTGCGGATTGGGATGGTGAAAGTGGCGTGCACACACACATAACCAATACTCGGATTTCCGATCCTGAAATCTTTGAACGACGCTACCCGGTCATCCTACACGAGTTTTCTATCCGCGAAGGAAGTGGTGGTGCCGGTCGGCATCGTGGTGGCGATGGTTGTATCCGCGATATCGAGTTCCGATTACCTATGCAGGTCTCCATTCTATCTGAGAGACGTGTTATCCCTCCATATGGTATGGCAGGGGGTGACGAAGGCCAGCGTGGAGTGAACCTATGGCTGAGAAAATATCCCGATGGAACGAGCAGAACGATCAGCTTGGGTGGCAAGGCAACGACACACATGAATGCTGGCGATCATATCATCGTTCATACACCTGGAGGTGGCGGCTATGGAAGAGATCCAAATAAAAAGGATGAGGTGTTCATGGATATTTTCAGGATTCATGAGAAGTTTTCTCCTGGATCGTCATTGCTCCGGACCCAGGGTAGTTTGGCTGAGAGGAATGCGACGGCCGTGGGCAACTGAGAAATATGAGACTTGTAGGGGTATTGAGATTATCAGATTATGGATATGATATAACTTTCGATATATTTCAATATTAGTAGTTCCCACAATTAAAATATGATGCTTTATCCATTGAGAGAGATGTTTCAGCTATCAAACTGCCCTGCAAAAACACCGCCTCGAATATAATGGACTGTAGGGTCATTCACACGAGTAAACTGGTACTATGACTCGCTCTTTAAAATCATTTACACCCATTCTATTAGAGTGCAGCTAAATGAGAGTTCATTGACTAGTTTTAAGTAGCATCTATGGATAGTCAAGGGCCTGTATCCGATCAGGGTTCCCTGGGATCATATTAGGCAAAGGATTGTTCCATCTCGACCAACTACGGCCTTCCCAGACATCTTCAATTGGTTTCTCACTTGCAAATTCCTCTGCATTTTTCTCGTTTCGATTCCAGACTCTGGATTACTACCGTCAGCGCTATGTTTGCATATTAGTTCTTGCGACTGATCGAAAACTCACCTAAGGATATTCTCGCCAATCAGTTTCTTGATTTGCTTGTCCGTAGCTCCTCTTCGCATCACAGCCTCGAGTAATTTAGGGTAATCCGCCACTGAGTGAATACCATTCGCCAGAGTGACTGTCCCATCAAAATCACCTCCGATCCCAACATGATCCCAGCCTGCTAACCCGACAATGTGCATTATATGATCGACCACGGTCTCGACATCGGCACTTTCTGGGTGAGTTGCGTTCAAAAATCTCTTCACAAACATCACCATCAAAACCCCGCCGTTTGTCTTTAACCGCTTGATGACATCGTCCGGAGTATTTCGATAATTACTGGCCAAGGCATAGCATGTACTATGACTGAAAATCACTGGCGATCGAGCAATATCCAAGACTTGTCTCATGGTTCGATGTGACGTATGGGATAAGTCGACCATCATACCAAGCCGGTTCATCTCATGGATAGCCAACGCCCCGAATGAGGACAGTCCCGCATCGGCGTCGGTTCCTAGAGCGGTCACTGTAGCAGCTGCAGTCGCATAGGCGTTGTCGCTGTTATGAGTGACTGTGATATAGCGCACTCCTAGATCCCACAATTGGCGAATAACTGCGATGGAGGAGCCGGTTTGGTGTAACCCTTCTGCACCCAGCATCGATGCTACTTTGCCTGCTTTGAAAGCTTCCACGGCAGAAGCAGCCGTGGAGCAAAACCTCAGCTCGGGTGTTGCTTCGATAAACCGCCGAGCGACATCGATTTGCTCAAGAGTATCGCGTACGATGTGACTTGGGTCATCTATATGCTTCGTATCGGGGCATTCCATGAACACAGACCAGAACTGCCCTCCGACCCGGCCTTGTCGCAGCCGCTTGAGATCAGTGTGACTAGCGAGTCCTAAGAGTACGGAATTTATCCGTCAGTAAATCTGCGATGTGTGATGTTTTAAAAATTTTTGAGTTCGCACCTTGCTGGAATGTGAAACGGTCGCTATTGATCTTATTCTGAAGTTCGATCCGGAGGAGGTAAGGCAAATCATTGTGGCCATCAATCAATGGTGTATTTTTCAAAATATTGTCAATCCGGGCTGAAATATCTGGAAGCTCCGACTCGGATTGAATGCGATAGATGGCCCATAGCGAGGCAGCCAACAAAGTAATGGCAGACAGCCCGACGACTGCGCGATGTTGTTCAATGCAGTTCATTCAAGCGTTCTTTCCCCTCTCAGTCTTGCAAAATAAAAGTAAACTGTGCAGCTCCTCCCAGTTTGGTTATTTCTTCTCTGCTTGGGTTAGAACCAAGTATACGATCATCGATTTGTTAGGGGAATCCGTCGACCTTGAAGCTGTAAGCCGATTGGTCCGGCCCGCTTGAGATATAACCGATCATAGCAAGATAAGGAGCTTTACGTTGATCAGTTGGATTAAAGTTGAAAGAAAGTCCGACAGCTGCTGTATGGTCTCGATAAGCATAATCTCGGACCTTCTGGGCCTTGAGGTCAAGGAGTCCTATAATCTAGTGTTCTCTTTCTAGGAGCTTATTATCGTACAACTGACGTTATATATTAAAGCATAGCCTGTCGGATCGCAACTTCATTGCTACCTCCAAGGCAAACACAAGGCCCCTTTTTCACCCTGCCAAACATTAAACACGCTCCAATGGGGACGAAATCAATCAAAGAGGCCCACACGGCCGACGTTTACGAGTCCGGCATGGGTGTCGGTTCAGCCGAGATCTACATTGATCCAGTCAAAGAACGAAGGATGATGAGGAAATTTGATGTAAGATGGCATCATATGCACATATGTGCATCGAAACTCAAGTGCTTGCATTATTAATGCAAATATAGTTTTTCGCTATTGGGATGTTGGGTCTTTTTTACATGATGGCCAATTTGGACCGAAGCAATATCGGAAACGCGAACACAGCGGGGTTCTCAGAGGACTTGGGCCTAGTTGGGAATCAGTTTGGAACCGCTACGACTTTACTGTACGACCCCTTGGCCCTTTTGACCGCGCGATTTTGAATAATTCCTGATGAGATTTTCCCAACAGATACGCGACCTATGTCCCCTTTGAGGGACCGGTTGCTGTGCTTCTCAAGATCATCGGGCCTAAGCCATTGTTATCAACATGCGCCTTCTGCTGGGGGATTACAACTCTTGGAATGGGTATGTAAATTTGACTTTCAAAGTTCTATGTTCAGGTATTAACCTTCTTAGCCTTCATTCAAAACTGGCAAGGGCTTTATGCGTGTCGGCTCTTGACCGGCCTGTTCGAAGCTGGATTAATCCCCTGCATCAATGTATACATTGCGCTAGTATACAACAAGAGTGAACGCGGAAAGCGCTCTGCTTTAATCTTTGCATTTAGTGCCTTTTCGAGTGCATTTGGTGGACTTCTCGCTTACGGGCTTACGCAGGTCCACGGACCTAACGGATGGGAAGGCTGGCGGTGGCTGTTTGCAATTGAAGGTGCCATGACTTTGATGCTCGTGCCACTTTTCTTTTTCGTGTTCCCCAAACATCCCACCACTGCCTGGTTTTTGAGTGCCGAAGAAAAGAGTATGATTCAAGCCCGATACGACAACGATCCTCATTGGGGACAGGATGAAGAATTTAGTTGGGCCGAGTCTCTCAGTGCTCTCACCGATCCTAAATGGTTTGCGTTTTGGATTTACCAGTTCAGCGTGGACATCTCTCTTTATGGATTCACGACGTTCCTGCCTAAAATCATTTCTGGCTTGGGATACTCCGGCGTACAGGCAAACCTGATGACAGTCCCAATCTACATGGTCGGCCTGGTGTGGTTCCTCATGATTGCATATTGTTCGGACAGGGCCAATATTAGAGGTCCGTTCCTCGCCGGGCCCCTGTTATGTCTGATAATCGGTTACTCGATTCTCATTTCGGTGGAGAACCTGAGCGTCCGATACTTCGCGTGTTTTGGTAAGTTTAGAATCCCTTTGACCTCATTTCGTCATTCTTGGACTTAACTCTTCTAGTTGTCGCTCTCGGCATTTATCCCACAACCGGTTTGTCGCTTATGTGGCTTCAAGATAACACAGCTCGCCACTTCAAACGGGCTACGATGGTCGGTATGACACTCTGCTTTGGAAACACTGCGGGCGTCGCTGTCGGGCAGATATTCACCACTGAATCTGCTCCACGGTATATAAAGGGACTTTCGATCAGCCTGGGGCTTGCAGTGGTGGCATTAGTGATGGTCGGTTCGTTGATGACGGGGATGACATTAGTAAACAGAAAGAGAGCAGAGAGAATTCGCCGGGCCGAAGAAGCAGGCGAGGTACTGGAAAGAAGACCGGAGAAAGGCGACTATGATGTGTACTTCCGATACTCTTTGTAATTAGTTAGTTGTCTTAATGGAGTTTGGCTCCCTAAGGGAGAACGTTGAACCTGCGTTTCTACACAGTGGTATAGGTTCAATCCCACTTTTTGAGTATTATTGATGCCTGGATGCTTGATTATTCCTGGGGATTAGACTAACTAGTTAACTCAACTACATACATGTACGTATAACAGTAACGCGTGGGTCCGCGTGGGCTGTCACTCCACACTCCGCACTCTTATCTCGTTCCCCCGCAGATAACGCACTGCTTTTTGTTTACCTTCGCCTTCTCCATTTCCTCCATTTCCTCACGTCATCTACTCTCATGGCATCCAGACACGGGCCCCCCAGCAAAACGGCAAAGACGCATCTATGTAGCGTGAGATGTCCCGAATCTTATCTCTTCCTAGGCTGACAAGTTATGGTTCGGTATAGTTGCCGACGGTGTCACTCACAGAAGATCAAATGCTCGGGGACTCAGCCCTGTCAATCATGTTGCATGTCGCAAAATCGGGACCAGTGCGAGTTTCCTACTAGAGACCGAAAGATATCGGTGTCCGAGTCGTAGGCTACCAAATTCAAGCTCTTCCGAATACGACTAGAAGCTAATGAAATCGAGATCCTAGATACATCAAAAAGTTAGAGGGAGAAGTCAAAGCTTTGAGAGCTCAAAAGCAGCAGTCAAGAGCTTCACCTGAGCTAGATGAGACAAGCTCTGTTACTCAAGATCCAGTTCAGACCTCGACTCAGTCCCCAGATATTGATGTTTCCAATCCTCTTCTTGAATCGCCCACTGGGTTTGTTGCCGCTAGGTCATCCTCACAGCCAATATTTATTGGTGAGGCTTCCTGCGTTGCCTTTGGGGACACTTTGCTCCAATGCGTTGACAAAGATGCTGATCTCTCATCGTGGGCATCTCCGACATATTTCCAACACGATATTCTTCATCGTCTGATGCGCCCAGACGTGGTATTGCCTGACCGAATACAAGCTCGATTATTGGTCGAGGTTGCCATTAGATTTATAGGTACCGACTACCATTTAGTTCTGAAGAAAACCTTTTTCGATACACTGGACCGAACCTGTGCCGGAGAGATTCCCAGGAACCCTGCATGGATGTGCAAATTCTTTGTACTTCTAGCGCTTGGTGAAATGTACTCGAACCGAAAAAGAAGGATGGCCGATCAACACGTACCGGGAACAGACTACTTCCTGCGTGCAGTTGGTCTATTGCAAGATCTATATGAAACCCCCTCGGTGGAACAGGTAGAAGTCATGGTTCTTTTTGTAAGTCGATACATTCCGAGGTTCTCTACGCTCTCAAAATTGGCAGATTTGCTGACGGCAATTTCATAGTGCTTTTATTCAAACGCTTTAGGGCGCGTCAAAACCGCGTACACGTATAGCGGTATTGCTCTGAGAATGGCTCTTGGATTGGGCCTTCATCGAAGTCTGCCCACAGATACGAAGTTATGCCCGGTGGATCGTGAGCACCGAAAGCGTGTCTGGTGGACACTTTACACGCTCGATCGACTATGCAGTTCCAACCTTGGATATCCTTTGCTTATAAGCGATGCTGTGATTGATGTTGAGCTTCCAACAAATGAAGGCCTTATTCCAGCTGAGTTGGAGGAATTTACCGACCCAAGCCACCTAGTCGCGAACGTTAAGCTGGCGAAAATCACAGGGCAAATCCGTAAATGTGCCTTTCCACTTCAGGCTGTCGTCAGCATCACTAATGGGCTTTATTCTAGTTAATGACATATATTGCCTCCCACAAAGAACTACAGAAACCTTTGTGCAAAGGGTGCATCGAATTCTTCTGAGTCTGCGAAAATGGAATGATGAACTCCCATCAAAACTACAACTACGCCAAGAGCATTTGCCTCGACACATTTCCAGTCTTCATCTTCATTATAATCAATGTGTGATTTCGACAACACGTCCGATTCTATTATATCTTTTCAAGAATCGCTTTTCACTGAGCGCTACAGCTGCCGAAGGCCCGCCTAGAATATTTTCCCCCACTACCCTCGCCCTGGCAGAAAGCTGTGTGCAGGCCGCACGGGCATCAAATTCCATCCTATCAAAACTGTTTGTTGACGGATCTCTAGCGTCATTTGGATACTTTGATGCGCACTATCTCTTCTCCTCCACCCTCATCTTGGTCATGTCTGCAGTCATGGACCCAAATGTGGGCATGTCAGATGCTGTCTCATATGCTTTCACTATACTCCGAGCTATGAAGGAAGATGGTAATCTTCCTAGCTTTGATTACTATGAGAGACTACAACGTACCAGAGCAAGTGTTGGAAAGATGAGAGAAGCCAACGAAGCAAGGTGCCGTGTATCTGCGGCTGGCAATGGAAGCACAACACCACGGGAACAACAGGTTCACGATGCCGATGGATCGGCTCTAGGCTTTGTGGACGGAGTTCCCCTAGATAATCCTCTCATAGATAGTTTTCTGGCAGATAAAGCCTTCGTATGGCCAGACGGAATGATCCCCCCGGATGACTCTTTAAGAGACCTGGTGTGCGAGCTAGGAGATGAGTTTTTGTTTGGTCCGGCCTGAGTCTGTTGACTTCAAGAAGGGTATTATTTTCAGTCCTTCTTCCACCTGTTACAGGTGATGAATCTTCAATACTAATTAATATCCACACTTGATAAGCCTATCTCCAAATCTCGGTCCCATCCGAAGGTAATCTCGATATCTCGGTAAGAACGCCGAACTCGGGAAATTGTCCCGGCCTGATTTATCTTGGACGCAGGCTCGGCATATTTCCGAATGTGTTTATTTGAACGAATTAACAGCTGAGCCTGCCGGATTACTGGATCGTCGGCTTAACTTGATCAGCCCGATTAATCAAAGCACTAAATGCTGAAGAGTCTACTTCGATGGTCAATCTATGCACATATAACATTCGCCTTGGTTAATCCTAACTTCCCCGTATGAACTATATTGACTTTCACGATGGCTTCTGCGGTTGTCACTCTGCTTGAGCAGCTCATGCAAATCCCATCTATCAGCAACGAGGAACACGACATCGGCTTGTTTCTCGAACAGCATCTCCAGGGCTTAGGCTATACCGTTGAACGCATTCCAATTAGTCCGGGTAATCCCCGTTGCAATGTTTACGCCTACTTAGGCTCATCGCGCAAAACACGAATTTGTCTCACATCTCACATGGACACCGTTCCTCCGCACATCCCTATGAGACTGACGCCCACTACAATCTACGGACGGGGCTCATGCGACGATAAGGGCCCATTGGCCGCTCAAATTATTGCACTGGAAGAGCTACGTGCCGAAGACCGTGTCCAGCCTAGCGATGTATCACTTCTTTTTGTTGTTGGAGAGGAAAAGGGTGGACCGGGAATGATCGCGGCCAACTCAATGAACGTGTCATGGGAGGCTGTCATATTTGGCGAGCCGACTGAAGGAAAGCTCGCAGTGGGACATAAAGGGCATTTCGTTTTTGAGCTCACAAGTGAAGGAGTTCCAGCGCACTCGGGCTATCCGCAGCGAGGTCGGAGTGCGATCTCCGTGATGACCGCTGTTCTGGCAGCGCTTGAGCGAACAACGTACCCATCATCAGACATAATTGGACCGTCCACCTTTCACTGTGGTCAGATCACAGGGGGCGTCGGATACAATGTCCTTGCGGCGGAATGCACGGCACTATGTGCGATTCGAGTTGCAAGCGACTTACCCAGGATTGAGCAATTAGTGGAAGCAATCGTTTCAGAGCATGAATATGTCCGTCTGGATAAGAAATTTATGTACCCGGAGCTGTATTTAGATCACGATGTACCTGGTATGGGCACGATGCCTGTCGCATTTGGGACCGACGCTCCGCGATTGAAAGGAGAACATAAGAAGTACCTGTATGGACCGGGGTCTATCTTGGTTGCTCACGGAGATAACGAAAGTATCGAAACTGGGGAGCTTATTGAGAGTGTTCAGGTGTACAAGCGGATTGTGGAGCACTGTCTTGGATAAGTAAAAGGCGTATGCCGATATTTCCGATCAATAAAGTCGGCAGCAAGAGCCGTCTTGCCGAGATATCAGATAACATTTGACCCCGCAGAAGTTGGGATAAATTATTTCTCATGTGCTACTTCTTTTTTGTCCTGGGTCATCCAAAATCAAATTTCTTTTCTTTGAGATGGCACATTCAATTCTCAGCGACCTACCCGTCCTTCCGTTGGCCGAGTCATTTGCGTTGACGGAGGCCTACAATCTTGATACATTCCCAGAAAAGGTCAATCTCGGCCAAGGGGTCTACCGCGATGAAGAATGCCAGCCTTGGATTTTGCCCAGTGTTCGAAGTGTAGGTATAGCCCAATAAGTTTTGCTGAGCACATCTCACAGTATTATTGCAGGCAGAGGAGTACCTGCACAGGCAACGTCTCAACCATGAATATCTTCCAATACAAGGAGCGGCTCAATTCACCAAAGAAGCTCGAAATTTGCTATTCAGTCCTCAATTGGCCCAGAACGAAAATATAACTAGCGTACAAACAGTCGCTGGAACAGGTGCGAACCACCTTGCTGCGCTATTCTGTGCTCGTTATCTGCGCCCCAAGAACGTATTTATTTCCGATCCCACCTGGGATAATCATCATCTTATCTGGGAGACTGCCGGACCGGATATCAAACGCAAGCTTTACCCCTATTATGACCCCTTAACGCGGTCACTCGACTTCAACGGCATGATCGCCGAGCTAGAAAACTCCGCAGAAGAAAACGACGTTGTGATCTTACATGCTTGTGCCCATAACCCAACAGGCATTGACCCGACACATACGCAATGGGAGAAAATCGCGGAGATTGTTGCGAAAAAACGTCTCTTTGTGGTTTTTGATAGTGCATATCAAGGTTTTGCGTCAGGCGATCTGGATGCTGACGCCTGGGCTATTCGATACTTCTACTCGACTCTTTTCGGAGACGCCTCCTTACCAACATCGGCTACTCCAGCAGGAATGCTTGTCTGCCAGTCTTTCTCGAAGAATTTTGGACTGTACGGTGAGAGGATTGGAGCATTACATCTTGTAACTCCGCCTTCTGTTCCACCTCAGGGTGCATATACACACCTAGTTCGATTGATTCGAGCGGAGATATCATGCCCTTCCCTTTTCGGCGAGCGTTGCGTGCACACTATCTTGACAGACCTGGAGCTTCGCTCGAAGTGGGAGGAAGATGTGAAAACCATGGCGTCGCGAATCCAGGGTGTGAGGATGTCATTAAAGTCAGAACTGGAGAATATTGGTGCGCAAGGAAACTGGGATCATATCGGGAGCCAGATTGGCATGTTCAGTTATACCGGGTTGTCGAAGACTCAAGTCCATCGACTGAAAGAGGTCCATCATGTCTACATGTTGGGGAATGGGCGAATGAGTTTGAGCGGATTGAATGGGAAAAATGTGGCATATGTAGCCCGTGCAATCAAAGAGGTGGTCGATCGGGATTAGTGTATGGCCTTTGAACACTCACTATCTAAATACCAAGAAAAGCCGAACCCCAGTGCATCGTGTATCATTCACATAGCGAAGCATTTCACCTTGAAAGTAAGGTTGAAAACTGTAAAGTGAGATTGGGACGACTACATAAACTACTGAATATGCAGTATTTTTCACAAAAAGCAAGCTTCCTTTCGATGGAATCATTCACTCGATGAAGTATTTCACAAGGTTATCCTAATTAGCGGTCGATATATTCCTTGACGGATAGACCAAGTATTCCGTTCTCATAATTCCACGTCTTGGACAAGTCCCAAGACACGCCACGGCCTTCTCCAAAGACAATTTGGTATTTGTAAATTGCGTTATCCGGTTCATTTGCAAGATCGGCCTTTGCAGCCTGGACTGTTCGTAGAGTTCTTTGAACAGGGTTTCCAGTGGTTTTCTCTATTAATAGAGCCAGATCTGCATAACTGACAGTGTCACCAGCAACATAAATTGCCTTGTCGCTGAAAGCTTCCTTCTGCTTGACACCAAGCACAATTTCCGCAGTGATTTTCCCGATATCCTCGGGGGCCGTGACGGTGACTTTTGTATCCCAGCTACCCAATGCGCACACAACATTGTCTTTCAAATTCACCACACCAAATGATGACTCAAAAAGGAAGCTGACAAACATCCCTGTAGAGATTATCAACCACCTAGTGCTAGCCTGCGAGCGCAATAGATCGCGCACCTCTAGCTGTTCATCAAAGAGGTCCTGTGCGGATCCTCGTCCGATAATATCATAGTCGACTCCGAACTGCCATGGAATATAGCGCGGAACTTTGGCGGCCAGCACTGCATGGACTAGTTTGCGTTGGGTACCCCTTCCGGCAGCGAATCCTGTACAGCCGATGATTGTATCATAGTTCCGAAAGATTCGGGAAAGGGACTCTTGCGAATCATTCGTGAGATCACCGGGGACAGTCAAAATATTCCGGTCATACAACATGGAAATATGACGTGCCTTGTCCTGGTCTGTTGAGGAAATACTGGATGGTCGCAACAAGGCAGTAATGGTGATGTTGTTTAGGTTGGGATGTTTAGCCAGTGAGAGCAACACTTGGGTGCCCAGCTCTCCTGCACCTAAGACAAGAATATTCTTGATATCCAACATGATGCGCAAGAATACCCAAGGAAATACAAGAGCAATTGAATGACCTAAAATGATGGAAATCTGGTTTATATATGACGAAACATGGGGGCCCTGATTGATAATCCCCCCGCATCCATATTTCCCCTTGGCATCGGTGTTTATAATTATCTCCGACGCGGAATAGGTTAAATACTAAAAACTTGTAACTTGTATACATTTGGGTTCGCGATAAGTACACTCCGGAATTCAGCGACTAGGCCACGCAAACTACGGCAGGGAAAAGTCCGGGTATATTCTGCGGGAAGCATCTTGTGCTGGAAGCCATAGAGTGAGATCATTTTGGCAAATACTGCTTTTTCGTGGAGCATTGCAAGTCTCAACTATAAATGGCATCCATCATCCATCATAGCGAATGTCTATTGGTATTTGTTAGCCTGGTATAGAAATCTACTTTGATCTATGTACTAACGTTTCTTTGCCGGTAGTTTACTTTCTTGGCGATATTCTAGTGTCGTGGAAATCGTCCAATGATTGGCCATCACAACTGTGCCCCTTTCGGTATATAAGCAGCCACCATCTCGCTTACAATGATCGTCGTGGGACTTTTCTTTCTTTTTTGTGACGGCCGCAAGGTTGATTCTCTGATAGTATCCCCATACTAAAAAAGATTGTCGATGTTGGTCACAGCTTTAGTTCCTTGATATCCAACGACTTGGTTGCTTCTGAGCCTGGGTTGTCAGAATATTCTCTATGTCGACCCTAAAGCAACTCTCACTATCCCACCACTCACCCAATCATCTTCACATTATCACGATATGTTTACTTCCCACAAGCAATATTATACATACGACCATAGGGTGTGGAGAACAGGGCTTCCCGTCCGCTCAGCCGTACTTAAGCCACACGCCGGTGAGTTAGTAGTTGGGTGGGTGACCACCAGCGAATCCTCACTGTTGTATGTTTTTGTTTTTGTATATTTTTGTTTGATTCGTTAGAAATCTGCTCTTGCCGCGTTACTTTTCAGTCGCTTTAGCCCATTCACCTGAATGTCCTGAACACCATTACAGGTGGTTCTAGTAAAAATTAGGACGGTTAGGTTTTGGCCTCACCCCATCGAATATATATATCTGCTTTCAACTAAATATACTCTCCCCTAAATATATTAAATATATATTATTAGATAGAGAAAAGGTCAACGAATTTAATACATTCAATATTTAGTGCAGCCCCCCCCTTGCCCCACGCATTACAAGCAATCTCTCGGGCATAGAATTAGATTGTTAATTACACCTTGATCAAGTATATCTATTCCTTAGAGAGGCTTTATCCCACTCTATAACTACCAACTTTATATAGTTTCTAATCTAGATACTGCCCTATACTATCTACGCAATATCTTTTATATAAGCCTTTATATTAATAAGCTTATATTAGTAGGTCTTAGATTATAGTCTCTAGACCTATTTTTTAGCTAGAATCAGATATTCTTTAGACGGAATATTCGCTAGAAAAGATCTAGTCGGAAAAGTCTACTTTATACTGTTATCTCAGTCCAAATTTCATCCGTTTCCTTATAGTTGTTACCAGCCAGTTCTTTAAACGAAAGAGTGCATTTCAACGAAAATACTAAGTACAGAGAGTAAAAAGAAAAGGAAGAAGAGGATTGGTGGGCACAAAGGTCCTTTGTGGGGCCTTTGTGCAAACCATGCAAACACCATCCTCCACGTGTCTCAACCCGGCAGGCGGTCAGCAACGGCAGAACTACGGTTGTCATCTCTAGATCGTGACAATAGTTTTAGTACGAATAGGGATCTTATATATTTACAAGCCGCTTAGTTAAATATCCTAGGACGCCCAGGGCGAGGCCTAGATTTAGTGTTTTGTTACTTATTATAGCGCTCGAGTGTACGGTATATCGTACTACGGGAGCAGTTGAATTTCTTAACCAAATAAGTGGGGTTTTGACCTAGTTCGTGCCCGTAAATGATTGCTGCTCGTTGTTCAGGTAAAAGCTCTGCTTTTGGCCGTCGATTGCCAGAAGTCTCGGTCCCGAAAGACCTCATGGTTGTTGAGAAAGAAGAGTTTGAAGAATAGGGTGTTTGTGGGGGGGGGGTGATGGAAAAGACGCTAAAACTAGTGGGACCGTCCCAACTAATAAAAGCAGGCATGTACAGTTTTACCTCCAAAGTCTCCGTGCGGCCCGAACCCATTATTAAATACATCTCTCACTTTTTACAACTATAGCAAAACCAACATACTAATTTCAACTAATTACTATACCTTTAGTCTACATAGTAAAAATATATAAAAATATACGTTATGTAGGCAATTGACAACAGTTTTTAATTGAATTTTTTAATATTTAGTACACCATACATTTGCATCAATTACAGCTTCCACCCTGCGCCCCATGTTAGAAATCAACTGACATTATTCACGAAAAAAAAGCGGGCGTGGGTCCGACCGTACGGAGACTTTTGTGGCGCGACTTTATACTACACCTGAATATCCTGCACGCTCCTAAACTACTAATGTATCCTTCCCTCCCGCACTGATCGTTTTCTTACAGGTATGCTGTTTTAATCACAATAGGCTAGCTACTTCTCAAAACGCATACATACGTTATAAATGTTCAACTACTCTAAAGAAAGTTTCTTCTTAGCCAACTACTATCCTATTATCTGTCTTCCAAAGAGACTTATCAATTTTACAAGGCTTTTGTTGCCTACAAGGGCATTTAAGTAAAAAGTACATTTTATATAATATTATAGGTATAAAGAAATGAATGAGAAAGGAAGAAACTGGATTACTTGGGATATATAGAGTAAAATACGTAATTCGAAAACAATACGGAGTAGATGCTAGAAATGCAATTAAAAAGGCTTGCAGGAGGGAAAGCGAGGTATTAACCCATCTCAATGACCTGGCATGGTGTGCCAGGTAGGTACTCTACTGCGCACATGCCAGCTCCTGCACGGAAAGTCAACAGATACGAGGCAAAATCTGACGAGTCTCAAAACATGGCCAGTCAGATTAAAAGAGGTGAGCTCAGTATGCAAGACTGCTGTTTACGAATTTAGATCGTATGTTTCCAAGGATGATTGGATAGATTCCATGTATATTCGAAATAATTAAATCACAGGGTGGTGGTATGGACTGGCCGAGGAAAGAGGCTGGCTGAGAAAGGAGGCTAGCCCATCTGATCCGCGGAAAGAATTTCGAGACGCATTTCACATGATGAGCGATCGTTGAGGGCATGTACAGTATTGAGCAGACACGGGTTATTACTCTGACGATCAATACTCGATCAATTGCAACACAACTAGTAACAGGAATGAAATCTTCGGCCATTATCCTCCGCACCCTGCCAGTCGTTCTCAAAATTACCCTCCTGTAAGTTGACACTATAGCCTTTTACTTCACTATGGCCAGTCTCATCCAACCTACACATGGCGATGGGATACCAACAGCCAATCGTTCCGGGAAGGTAGGAGCAAGTCACGTAGGTATACGACGGCCGGAATCAGCCTCTGATTCGCCGTCTCAAGCAATACTTACCTACAACATAGGCAGAGTTCGTACTTAAGATAAATACAGGCATGCAAAGTATGAGGCATTTTTATTTCTGTGAATGCACACATTACCTGCCCGATTACCTGAAAAATTAGAATATAACGTACGTAACTATTTGGCAATATACATGACTAGGCATCGCATTTGTGCATATGTCTGACAGTTCACACATATGCGTAGCATGTTTGACCGCTTCTTTCAGTGGATATTCCATTTCATAACTGCTTATACGACTGATATTGACCGTACTTTTGTAAAATTTTGGGAATATAAGAATGATCAGAATTCTCTATAGGAGCTTCTATACTCCATCAAGCCTTTACCTATTCGATTTAGTGCCCTCAACCGCTAAGGTTTTACCCAACACCGTGACACATCCATCAGTGTAAATCTCTGCTTCTAGAACATTAATAAACTGGGATGCTAATCATCAATTCAACCAGAGGGCAAAGAATGTCGCCGCCGAGGACATCCCTGAGTATCTGGAACGTACCGTCGATCTTGATAAGCAACTTGTGAAACAGACAAAGTCCGAGGTCTACGTCGACCCTGGCCAAGAAGCATTGTACCAATTCGTGGACATCTACTTTCTCGGCTATGATTGGGTACTTCAGTGGAGCGAAACGAATGGCAAGGATAGCCCCGTGAGAATAGAGTTAGAGAGGGAGATCATGTTCCGAAACAAAACGGGAAGCGAATTCAACATAACCTTCAGCTTGGCCGCTGAGTTCAAAGGTCTTGGCATGAAATTGGAGACCGGCTACAAGTCCTTCTCTGAAAGTGAACTCAGCGATGGCCGAAAGAGAAGAGAAAAGTTTATAGTGGAGCCGCACACAAGCACGTACTACTATCAGAAAAGATACAATTTCAGGACTGAAGTGTGGTTCAAGGCTGATATGCGTGGACAGCTATACACTGTTGGTCAATGGAAACGCGATGGGATTGCCATGGGTGTATCTTCGTTTTGCGTGGAATCCGAAGAGCGTGTCGGGGCGCCGAAGGCGATCACAGGTGAACATTCTCTGGATGTGAAACCTGTCGAGTCGGAAAAGCGCGACAACGTCATCCGGTTCGAACATCTTACGGCGAGAGCCCAGACCTGGCTACATGCACAGAAGATCTAAACAGCCTTTGACATTCTCATAATCTGCATTTCTTTTTTGCAAATGAAGAAAACGAGAATTCAGATGTTGAGCAAATGTTGTCCATTCTCCTGTTTTCTGAGCTGTCTGTGATCAATCAAATAGCATGTTACTTTGATAAATCTTGCCTGTCTAGCATGGGCCTTGAAAGGGGCTGGATGCTACAAAATCAAGACACTTTTTCAGGTATCTTACCTTAGTGCCCCTGCGTAATCATGGCCCACGAAAATTTTGAACATTTAATAGTAAAATATAGTTAATTCACTAACCAGAAGACTAAGTCAGTTTACAGATTGAACACTTTAGACATCTTGTAGGAAGAGGAAGAAACTTTCTGGTGCGCAATGAGATGAACCCGGAAGGGGGCATGTAGGCTGAACAATCTAGTGGATTGGTCCATCCGGTCCAGCCTGTATACACACACAGTGTATTAACTCCCGGCACCTAAACCAAAAGGGCAACTATGACTAATCTAAAAATATATTCCTTAGCTACTGCTGTGCCTCCTTGGTGCCTATATAAGATTCTATTCAGGATATGCTATTTCAGCTGTCAATATCATAGCAGGTCCTCATGGGTTAGTATTTTGTTAGTAGACTGGCTTGAAGGCGCTTCTTCAAGAGTTCAGTATCATACTCTCGGTAGTTAAAGCACGTCTACCGTCTCTGGCATGAGGTGGTCAGTGGAGGTTAGATTAGGGTTAAGGTGGGGTTTATCTGTATCGGTCGATATGTCGGCCCGTGGCAATTGCACCGTGGCAATTGCAAACTGTATTGAGGCTCATACTACTTCCAAATTCGGCTTCTAGTTCTGGTCATCCAAAGGTGATTTTCCGCCTAGGAAAAAAATTATACTGCTTCGGTAAGTATGGTTAACCCAGTAATAGGTCTGGGCCCCCAAATTGGGTTACAAACTATACAAGCACACTAATTATGTACGTGATTTAGCTGTGTTGGCTTTCTGAATACAATTCTTCATAGCTCATTAATATCTTCAATGTCTTGGTAGGGCCAGATTCCTTGAAGCCATGCAAGAGTGGATGGGTTTGTGCATGACCCCGAAACACACATCTCTCTTTCCAATTTCTCTTCTCGTAGCAGATCAGCACGCTGGATCAGCTCGAGCAAAGGCGTTTCGGGTTCCGCAGCAGTGCCGAGGGGACATTGTCTCCACAGGGAAGTTGTCTTAGTCACCACCTCCCAAGCACGATATGTCTCAGGACTAGGTAGGCGATAGCTTAACTCGTCGAGAATGTAAGAAATGGTATCCTTTTGCTTGTAACTCCTACAGAGCCAGCTCCATTGTGCGGTAACATCATTGGTTTGCAGAAAATATGCGAATTCGACAAGCTCAATGGCAGTCAGAAACACCGAGTCCACATATTGCGATTTCTGTTCACCTGAGTTTGAGGATGAAAATTGTGAATGCAACGTGACCCATGATTTTGACAAGTGAAGGCGAGTGATTGTGGCCAATACCCAATGTGCTGGAATGCCGAGGTTGAAATGATTGAGATATCGTTCATGGAGAGTTTTCCCCACAGATTTGATGTGATCTTCCCGGTCTTCTAGCGAAGTGACTGGATCCAAGAGCTGTGGTGATAAATGCACTTCCTTGATCATAAAAGATGTTGTAATGCACAGGGCAATGTCCGTGAACCCATTTCTCTCAGGCGGAAGCTCGAGCATGAGCGGTTCAAGCTCGTCTCCGTCAACGTTGACTGGAAATTGGGCATCAAATGTCCCGGGTCTGATCTGCATATCGATACCTTGATCTTCTGAGCACAGCATGTCCAGGATGCAAATATGCCACCATAGACGTCGACGGATCTCGGTGTCAAATGGCGACAGGCCGATTTTCTTTCCATCGCGGTGGATACCCTGCGACTGTGCAAGGCGGATCACGACGGCAGACTCAAACCAAACAAGTCTTGTATCTCCATCCACGCGGGCACAGAGGAGATGGAGGACAGCAGCTTGGAGAGTTAATAACCCAGGGGATCTGATAAAGTCGGCTCGGCTCAACGCTTGGTATAGCGCGAGCTCATAGGCTGATTTTGCTTCGTGGTATTCCAGGCCCAACTCCGACTGGAACTGACCTGGACACAGACTGACTATGGCAGCGAAACAAACCGATAGCAAAAGTGCTTCACTAGAAGAATCAATGTCTAGGCCTTTTGACGCATCCTGCACAATTCGGGCTGTGGTGGGTAGATGAAGAAGCGCAATTAGGGGCGCAACACGTTTGTGGTATGTGCGCCATAAAGTCTCGATATGTAGAGGCTGAAGGTAATGTTGTCGAAATGAATCATGGGACCACACGGGACTGTTGTACCCAAGGAAGCCTCCCTTTCGTAGATCAAAAAGACCTGGGTCAATTCGTGACAAATGAAGACTTTGATTGTCTCTCAAAGTAGAGGATTTGTTGGACTGCCGTTCATCTTTATCTAAATCGTGATACTTTGACCGAAGATGTTGGACTTCTGTCTCTAGCTCGGCCAAGCGTGCAACCAGCGCCTTTACCGGAGGTCGGTTGATTGTCCGTGGAGCGCGTCTAGGGCCTGGAAAGGTACACAAATCCCCTGCCTTGGCGCATACAGCGCACGGACTGTTTCGATCGCATCGCACCTTCCTCTCACTGCATCGTTTGCAGCTTCGTTTGTTGCGCGTGGTTGCAAATTTCTTTTGGGTTCCGTCTGACATAGCGGAAACATGGCTCAAGCCCAAAGTCGACCTGAGACCAGGCAATTATTACCAAATATTGCCACCAGAAAGCCAAAGATGTGCGAGATGTGAGGTTTGGTCGCCTTTTTAGTATTTGATCTAGGGATATCTACAGGGTGGCGGGCCAATCATTATGGTCGATGTGGAGAACCCGGGGTTGATATCAACGCCGCTGCGTAACTTTGATCGCATCGATTATCAATCCTTGAGGAAGATTTTTTCAAGCTTATCTCGTTTGAGTTACTATTAAATAGTCGATCATATCTCGAAGTGGTTTTTGTGAATCAACCTGGCGTTGCAGATATCTTTACTGCCACGATATATTGCGCCACCAGACCGACATTGTCGAGAACCGTTCTGATCACCGGTGCGACCGGAAAGCAAGGTGGAAGTGTCATCACAGCTCTTCTTAAAGCAAAGGGAGATTTTGAAATTCTTGCCGTAACCCGTGATGCGTCTTCTGGTGGAGCGCAGAAGCTGCAGGCAAAGTCCTCGAACATCAAACTAGTCGAAGGCAATCTAGATGAGCCCGAGAAGATATTCGACAATGCCCACAAGGTCACTTCTCAGCCTATCTGGGGTGTCTTCAGTGTCCAGGTGAGTTGTTATTGACTGAATTTGCGCGACATAACTAACAATATCGTAGGTTCCGGTGCCTGGTGGGTCAAACCAAGAAGTTGAAGAGAAACAGGGCAAGGATCTTGTCGATGCAGCTCTCAAGAACAATGTCAAGCACTTCGTCTACTCATCCGTTGATCGCGGTGGTGACGCTTCTTTTAATAGTCCTACGCCTATCCCCCATTTTATCAGCAAGCACAAGATCGAGCATCATCTAGTGGAAACGACCAAGGGTAGCGAAATGACGTGGACTATTCTGCGCCCTGTTGCATTCCTCGAGAACTTCACCCCTGATTTCTTCGGTAAGGTCTTTGCCACCTGCTGGAAGAAAACAGTCAAGGAAAAGCCACTGCAGCTTATCTCGGTGGGCGACATCGGCTTCTTCGGCACGCAGGCCTTCATGTTCCCTAACCAGTACCAAAACAGAGGTATCTCTCTGGCAGGTGATGAGCTCACCTACGGTGAGATGGCCAAGGTCTTCAAGAATAAGACTGGAAAGTCTGTCCCAACAACATTTGGCTTTGTTGCCAAGGCCCTGATGGCAATGATGAAGGATTTGGGTTATATGTTCCAGTGGTTCTATGATGTGGGCTATGGAGCAAACATCCCGGAGTTGAGAAAGGTACATCCTGAGTTGAAGGATTTCCGCACTTGGCTTGAGAAAGATAGTGGGTTTGATAACAAATAAGGGTTGGGTCTCTCAAATTGTACATTAATTATTATCTGTCAATTTTAATGTTTTATATATTTTGTGCTGTTTCTCGGCTTTGTGGTTAGATGACAGGAAAAAAAGGGGAACCGTGCAGATAATCTTTCTATATATAACCCAGTATTTAGTCTGAATTGGCAAGTGCGAGAAGTTAGGAATAGAGGTGAGTACAGGATGCCTTAAAAAAGAGAATGGTGTCTGCCTAGGTAAGGTCATCAGTAGCCTGGACTCTACGCGAACTAGTTCAATTTTGACGCAACCTGCTCTTATTTCCTCTTTCCAATTCTTCTCTTTCTCCCCTATTCGTTTCTTCCCCGTCAATATACCATCGAGTAACTATCACCATGTCTTCAACCACCACCAGCACACTCACCGGCATCAGCAGTGATACTAGTACCGGCACTTCTTGGTCTAAAAGTTGGACTCTAGAAATTCAAGATCGGAAAACCATTGATATTTGCTTCGGTGTATTCTTGATCTCTCTGCTCATGCTACACCAGGGTCTGCCTGGGATCTGTCTACAACTTCGTGGCCTGGGCTGCTTCTATCCATGGAAATAAGCTGACATGTATACTTGATCTAACTATCTAGGGAGGAGTAAGCTACTCATGCAGGCGGGTTTTAGTCAAATTATAAGGTGAAATCAAATTTGATGAGTTGAGGTTTCTTGATTTTACCCAAGACTCACACCAGAAGCACTAAGCTGAAACTAATGATGGTGCTGGCATCAATAATAGCTCTTCTGGATCGGGCTATTTGGGAGGATCTCCTTTGTCAGAACCGTCGCTTGGTATTGGAAGAAAGGCGGTCCATGGCAGTGGGAAATAGTGCCAAATTGAGTCAAATGACCTGTAGGATGAAAATTGTTCGCTTGTCACCCGTCTAAACCTGAAATTGTACTTACTAACGGAAAGTATAACTTGCCAATAAACTGCCTATCTCCTGTACTCCAGTTTGATTAATTTCGGCAAAGAAAATGTGGTTTTTTTCAAGACAAAAGATGGGTACGAGTTACTACTAAGTTAGTCCTAGCTGAACTATGTCAGCCTAGGTCAGCACACCAACTACCATGTAATCTACACATTTGAAATTATGCCCAGATCCACTTATTATTTACAGTGCTTAGCTTTCGACATTTAGAGTAGTGTAAACGCCGTAATATCCTCGTCATTAACCAATGTCAGATAATTTTTTTTTTTTTTTTCATTGGCCCACCTGCGCAGTCAGCACACAAATTGCGTCCAGTCAGCACACAAATTGCGTCCAGTCAGCACACAATTTCACGTTTTTATCTCGCCGCTATTGGCTCATTTAGGAGATACCAGCGTACCTACGTAGATTCGTCTCTTTGTTTGATAAGAGGCTGCAAACCCCTCACCTCCAACCACCCCTTAAAACTCCACATAAGTGACTAGAACGCGATTTCGAACATTCAGTCATCCCCATCTTTACCTCCGGCCAATCCCTTTGAATAAGTTCTTCCCTTGACTATCGTTTTATTTCAACGTCAAGAATGGCAGCCGTTTCATCTTTCCGGTACTCAACCGGCAAGATCGCCACCGCCGAGGCAGCCAAGTCATTCTCATGGGAGGCACCTGTGCCGGTGAATCCTTTCTGGGATAGTTTCAGTTACTCCACTGCCCGGAATTTTCTAGGCAACTTTTCTGAACACGAACTGAAACAGCTGTCTGTCGACCCGGTGGGAATAAACCCCGACGATACCGCTGACCAGCAAAAAAAGCTTCAGCTTCTCCTTCAGTTACTCCGGAACAAGCTGGCAAAGGAAGAAGCGGCCACTTCGCCACAGTCGCTCTATGAAGTCAATTACGCGCAGTGGAGTCAATTGTGGCAGGGAATATATATACTCGAGGATGAATTGGATCTTCCGCAGGCCGAGGATACTATCCGCATGCTAGTGGAGAAAAGACCGGATACGTCGAACGTTATCCCTCCCCATATGCTAGCCGATCACCTTGTCAAGGTTGGGAAATATAGGGAGGCGGAGGAAGTTGTGCGGCCGGTTTGTCAGTGGATGGATGTTAATCCAAAGCTTGGAAAAGCCTCTCCGCAAGCCCTCAGCGCTCGCAGGACTATCGCCAGAGCCTTATGGGGCCAGGGCCCCTCGCGAAGATCTGAGGCTGAGGCGCTGGTTGCCGAAATCCATGAACTTATTGACGGCATGGCTGGAAGCAAGTTTGGCATTTACCAGGAAGAGGAGGCAAGCCTTCACAAGGAACTGGTGGCTGAGTTGAAGCTCAAGATTTAGGAATGCCGGTGATGCCTGTTCTTCAATAAACTGCTTGTTTGCTTCTGCGATGAAGGGTTCTCTTTCCTCTCTCTCTCTCTCTCTGCTCCTTATTTTCTAGTTCTCTGTTAGCTTTCAATGAATACTATTGATTGATAAAATTGATAAAATCTTTATATTGAAGCTGTTTGGTGGAATACCATGTGGCACCACTTGGACCCTTCCAAGGATCTGCGGATTTTGAGCCGCATTTTCTATGAAACCAGCTCCACTTAATCACCTGACACGGGACTGCCCCGGATCCTCCCGAGGCACTCCGGATTTAACCTTAGAATCCTTTCAATACTACTCGCCCGTAATTGTCTGCTGGTAATCAGGCATATAATCTCTCTCCTCGATACTGCTACTACGGTTGATACATATGACCGCGTTTAGATCCGCGCCCTCTGCCACTAGAAACCGTATCACTGGCTCACAGTCCGCATCAGCCGCGGCATGCAGAGGGGTTCTACCTTCTTTATCACGAGCTTCTAGATCCGCACCCGCGGCAAGCAACTCTGAAACAATTTCGAGGTGCGGACTGCGCGCTGCGTAGTGTAGTGCAGTCCGCCCCGAGCCGTCCCTCTTATTTACGTCGATACCGTAGAGTAGCAGGAATTGCACGATTTCCAGATTTCCACGCTCGACGCTGATGTGTAGTGCTGTTTTCCCTTGGTTTTGAGCAAGATAAGCTCTTTGAACGCTCTCGGGTGTCCCTATTCCCAATCGCGGTGTCGGCGACCGTGTAGTGGACGTATTGGTCCTAGTGATTCTCTCGGTGGATAAAGTCATCGCCGGAAGGAAGTTTTGAGTCACAGTGAGTTCTTGCTCCTGAAACTGCCTGGAACGTTGCAGAATCTCTTCTGATACCTCTTCTTGGTGTCGCTGTAGATTGTTGGGGGTGCTGGACTCATCAGACAAAGAGGAAATTCCGGGCATTGGGCCCAGTACAAAGGTCGGCGTTTCTTCTAACATCGCATCAAATATATTGATGTTATTTAATCTCGGAATGGAACTTGCAACTTCTGGACTCTCTTTTTCCTTTGTCGTCTTCTCGGACTGAATGGCAGCGTAACGCCCGTTATCCACAGCTTCGGATTGGGATATCTCCGATTCAAAACGGGCAGGAACTAGTATATTTCCCTCGAAGTCAAAGTTTCCAGTTTTGTTTGGTGTATTATTCAAGCTGCAAGTCTGGAATTGGTGATAATGCCCATCAGAAGGACCACAGTGGCTGTCCTTTTCTGACTGTGGGCTTCCTTTCATTTGTTTTTCTAACTCTTTCGGCTGCTGTTGCTGAAGCTCTGCTTGTCGTTTGCCTTGAGATGGATACATTAGGGAAGCCGAAATCACATAGGTGACCAGTTAAAAGGTATGAATCCTTATTACTTACGACGGTTTCTCTGAGCATTGCGGTTTTGAAGTCTTCTTCGCTGCAAGGCCTCAATAGCAGCCTGAGCATCCCGGTGAGCATCCATTATTCCTTGACCTTAATACAACAAGGAAGTAGTACTATTTAAGCTGTGACGCTCATAATGTGATAAAATGAGAACTATGGCACCATGGACAGTGAGAAGATCATATGTGCCCAAGCAGTATGCCAATAACACTTAAATTCGAGGAAGAAGAAGAGGAAAGAGGAAGAAGCGGGAGGTTTATCGACTCTTGACCATAGCACACACACCCGTGGACCCTTGCTAGTGGTACATGGATGGTTCCAAGGGTAGCATTCTAGATAGACCTATCATGATAAATAAGACCCCAACAGAAACCCAACAACGGACATACACATAAATATACCGGTAGTTGAATAGTCACGGTGAATACCCGTAAATCAAGGGTCCACGACTAATATTTTATAAGGCTAGCTTCCCTAGCCATGGCCTATAGGTTGTACAAGAGATTTGACTAATTCATGAGGCTCGAATAGCGGGGGAGGGGATGCAGTAGCTTAATAAGGCTCGGAATCAAGGTTAACCAATCCGCGAAGTCAAAACAGACAACCAAGCCTAATATTAATCATTATAGCTCGATATGGCATAATACATACCCTAGCCATATCCTATCTAGCGCGAGGGTCTACTGATTGGTTAAGTTCTACACTTGCAACGTAAATCAAATTGGGGGTGGAGAGCAGTAAAATGAGAGAAAGAGGGCATCTCTCAAGCTGGCCCCAATTTGCTCCGATTCCAGTCTCAAGGTTTGTAACCTGAGCTCAAAGCGAATTTAATGGACAGACCTAGAAAGGATACAAGCATTAAAACAACTATCTACCCTCTGGTCGATCTAGGCATTTGAAAAAAGCTACTCAAAACTAAACCACGGCCTAAGGTCCGACGGATCTCCGGAGCCCTGTCTGGGCTTCCGATTTGTAACTTCCGTGTTGTCACATGTTTCTACCTAAAACCAAGCAATGCGCAAAAACAAATTTACTCTGGAGGTCACTGTAGCTTGAGGTTAGTCAAGCTAGATGCATGGTTTCTTTCCTATTGACACTTAATATATCGCGACGAAAATGCGAAATTCTCCACACCTTCTACATCGATGCACTTTGAGAATCAATTACATAGTTCCCAATACTACCGCATTGCTGGTGACTCGTGAGTACACGTGGCATACCGCTATTTGAACACGTTCGCTATGAAGCTGGGTTTGATGTCTTAAAGAAAACACCTCAAAGAGCCGTATGGCTATTGGCCAGTTGTATTTGACTCCAATATTCCTATACTACGTTATTCACCGCTAATTGGTGCCCATGTCATACTTAATCTCGGAAGGAAAGCCGAGAGCGTATGTCTGCCATGACTATGGAGTACAATCGAACTAGAGCGCCAGTTATCAGAGTATCACCTCGCCGAATTCTTTTCGAACCATCCGATGGCGATCTCTTTATCAGGAGTGGAGACTGATAGAGAAATGAAAATACCCGAATTACTATTATAGAGGCCTTATTTAAGGTACCCTGGTTCTGTCAGCTGATCATCCCTAGTACTATTTACACTACTATACCAGTTTATAAGCATAATTATCTTCATACTAAAGAGTATACAGCTAGTAAAGCTACCTAAAAGTGGTGATAGATGAACATAACAATATTTGGCAGCTTCTGAGGTCTCGCAATGTCTTCTTTGATATTCTTTTTTGGTGTCTTTTTTATGTATATGAAGGCGATGAAAGAAGTTAGACCAAATTTTAATGTACATATATGTATGTGGTTGAATTAGTTATACGTTTATACAATGTAACTCCAACTCCCAGAGTCGGCCGCTCTTCGAGGAGCCGAGATCCCAAATCCGAAGTGATCAGCCCTGATGTTTGATCTTAATAAAAGGGTATAATTTAAATAAATACAAGGACAAACATAAATATAAAACAAGTAAAATCGTATATATACTTGAGACCAAAGATTAAACATGACCGCCATTGGTGTTCTATATCATATCATTGAGCGGGTTTCCTGGCCCCCCCCTGGGCTTCTCTCATTCAATACCGTGAATAATTCTTTTCGTCGGATCGGTTTCGTTAAAAAGAGGTCCATTCCTGACGCATAAGCTTCGTGTTGGGCACTAGCACTTGCAAGCCCAGTCATAGCGACAATAGTCGCAGGTCTAAATGATTCTTTTGCTAAAGAATCGAGAGTGTTTTGATATTCCCGCTCAGCCTTGCGAATAAGCCGAGTGGATTCAAACCCGTCCATTATGGGCATGGAGATATCTGTGCTTGTCAGAACAACCCTTCATATACAAGAAGTAGAGAACTTACCCATCAGGATAATTTCGAATTTTGTAGGATGGGCTTTGAAAGTGTTTAGCGCCTCCAAACCATTGCGGGCAATTGTGTATCTGTATCCCTCTTTCTTCATATGTGCAACTAATATTTGCAGATTGATATCGTTGTCTTCGACCAGCAACACCGTGAGTGTCGGCTGCTCTATCTCGGAAAATCCCTCCCTAATTGGTAAAGTAATGGTATCACTTCCAGTTTGAGACAGATGAGTGCCCTCAAGTTGCTGTGAGTCTTCCATTTTGTCCAGCTTGCGATATTCATCATCTATCGCCTTTTTCCCTGCTTTGTGTTTCTGGAAATCCATCTCATCTTCTGCACGTTGTGTTTCGATATCCTCCCTGAAAACTGGAGGCGACTTCGTCAACTGGAACGCCTTCCCCTGAGGCTGATGTATATTAGACTCACCTTCTGCCGGAGATTCCTGGTCTTGTTGTCGTTTTGTGCAAATGTTAAACGCTTTGGCCAGCTTACGCGGGCCACAGGGCTGACTGATAAATTCAACAATAGCCTCGTGATTCGATTGGTTTGCTGCAACAAACATGGAATGTGCTGCCTCCGGCGACCGAGAAATCACCACGATCGGAACTCTTCGATTCCCGACACTGCCATGGGAATAATTCTGGGTTTTTGATAACCACGATTCCCAGGTATTCAATGAATTGGTATCGGTCTGCACTATAACATAAAAGTCGCATAGAGGGGGAGAATCATCCGTTGGAGTCAGGATACGAACATCCATTTCGAACCAGTTCTTGCATAATTTCTCCAAAGAAGAACTAAGGATTTTATCACGATCGGACATATCACCCGATCCTAGATCCAGGAGGCCCAGGGTCGCTCCACTTGTAAGATATTTCACTTGCAAAAGGGGCTGGAGTTCGGATGGACTGGATTTGGCATTTTGGGCAGGCATGTGGGTAAGGGTGACTTCAATCGAGACATCAGTACCACGACCCCGGAGTGAACTGACTTCGATATGACCACCCATGGACAAAACTGCATGGTGCACAATGCTGAACCCGAGTCCGTTTCCAGGCGCAAGCGAGTCTTCTTGTGTGAACGGGGTGAACAAACTGTTCTGCAGATACTCCATGCTCATCCCGATACCCGTGTCCTTGACGGTTAGGGTCACCTTAAAATCAGAAGGTCCTCCGGGAACAGCGTCTTTGGCAGGGGCGACAGGTGATGCAGTTAACTTTACTAAGATAAAGCCATTGGCGGTGTACTTTAGGGCGTTGCCGAAAATGTTCATCATGATTCGGCGCCAGGCGCCTATTTGGGTGGAGAATCTCCATTCGGCAGCTTCGTCGATATCCAAGATTATGCTGACCTGACTCGCTCGCTGGACGGGCCCCAATATGTCGAGTTCCATGTGATTCGGACGGTCTATCACCATTGATCTTTTTGAGCTGTGGTAGAAACTGTAGCCTGCGAAGACACTTTCCATCACCTCCTCCAAAACGGCATCCAACTGAATGTCAGACTTTAGACTAATCATCCCACTATGCCGTGTCCGCCGTGAAGGCTTCATGCTATGAGGTGATAGGTCCGTGTTCTTGTGCCGTCTTGAAGGGTTTTTCGATTTGTGGGGAGCTTTTTTGGTTCCTTCCTTCCGAAAGTTGTTTATCTTCGAAAAGTCCAGCAAATGATTGATTGTATCCAACAATGTCCGCCCACACGATTCAATAGTGTGTACTAACCCGTGCTGAAGCGCGTTCATCGCCGTGTCCCGAAGTATTTCTGATGTGCCAAGAACGCCATGGAGAGGACTTCGTAGCTCGTGTGAAATGCTGCTGACCAGATTTGTTTTCGCTTTCTCTGACATCTCGACATCCAGACGATGCACCTCCGCCATGATGCTATTTCCAAATGCCGAAAGATATGTAAGCTCAGTCTCGGACGTGAAGACACGCCGAGGTGTGTTTGTCCATACCAGAGCGCCCGAGAACCATCGAGCTCGGTGGGAATCCCACATTGGCAAAAGAGCAATGCTGCGAGCCCCCGGGAAGAGTCGAATGAGAATGTTTCCATCTTCTTTGATAGTGGCACTGCGCGTCTTTTTCCGGCTCCCTCTTGCTTTTTCATCAATGAGGTCACTGTTGACCGGGTTTGAACCCACACTGTCCAACGAGCTGTTCCAAGGTCCATCACTGCTTTCGTCGGAGGACATCGATCCCTCTTCACTGAAATTGAAAATCTTGCCCTGCGGGTAACGCCGCAGAAGCATCTTCAACAATACTTCCCGGAGGGCAAGTCTTCCTTTTGATTCATCGTTGATACTGGATGTATTCGACGTCGAGAACCCTAGTATCTCACATAAGGTCGTGTTCTCTGGGATGGTATCCTTCCCGGCTGGTGGGGTAGAGCCTTTCTGGGAATCTGATCCCGTGCTATCGTCACTACTGCCCATGGAGCTTTCAAAAGTACCGCTATCTGAGTCTGGCCCCTTTCGCTTCGTATCACTGACCAGACCACCATAAGACCCGATGCTTGCATCGAAGAACGCGACGCCTTCAACTTCTATCGACTCCCGGATGATGTTAGCGGCTCGCGAAAAGACTTGTCGAACTCCGATAGACAGCATGTCGTCTTGCAGATTTTCGGTCGACGCCGTGCTTCGGACAGAGAAACTAGTTTGCGTTTCGGCTTTCTTGCGACTTGATATCTTATCGATACTGGCGTCCGATTCCTTATCAGAGTGGGTCGTTGACGGCGAGGAGAACGATCCTGGGGAGACGTTCGGCGGTGGTATACTGAACAAATCGGGGGATATAAATTGCTCGGAATCACTTCGTGGCAATAGTGACTCCAGCGACGGGGATGCTGGGCGAGTGTGGATGGTTGTGAGCAGACCGGATTTGATTTGTGCATTTTGCTGTAGCATGTTTAGGTGGCCTTCGTCATGTTGCTGTTCATTTAGGCGTAGTCCAGTCTCCTGTACCCACTCCTTGCGGAGCGTCGCCTTACCTTCAATAAAACTTCCGAAGCCCACAATCATTCTCTCTGCACGATGATGTTCTGCTTTGCTTCGGGCCATGCCTAAGTGGGTCATGACGGTCGATGCCATATTTTGCAGGAACTTTATCAACGCGGCATCCAATCCGGATCGTGGCTCGTCATCGATAATGCAGTAGGATCCGATGGTGATCCCTTTGGGACTGATGATAGGGGCGCCTGCATAGAACCTTGCTTTGGGAGAGCCGGTGACCATTTTCAAGTGGTTAAACCGATCATCTTTGCGTAGATCAGGTACCACGTATATTTCCCCCATGACCACATTTTTATCTTCTTCTGGGTTTATTTTCGGCAGGGAAGCCACTTGTTGACATATCCCATCCTCCTTAGGGACAACACAGCAACCCAACCATAAGGCATCCCTATCATTCTCCACGGTATGATCTTGAAGACTGAGCGTTTGAGTGGCCTCTGCGAGAACATATTGTTGGTCCCGGCCGAAGAGCGAAATCAAGGCACGTTGAGCCTTCAACCTTAGAACTCCTAACTGGGCGAAGGCTGTTAAAGCGGTATCTGGCGACGATCGGGGAATATAGGCAGTTTGTTGATTCTGTACATCCTCAGGTGTTGCGGGGACACTTGGGCCAGGTTGGAAAACTTCGTTGGGTTTAAGATATCTTTTTTATCGGTGTATGGTTTTAGTGTGTATTCAAGTCGGGGATAGTAGAACCCTATTTATGGACATACTTGTATAGTTCCCTCTCTTGTGCTAGCTTGAACTTCGGTGGTCCGGCTTGCGCTGGCTCTGACGATGACATGAGATGTATGTAGTAAATTCTTTCTGGTGATAATTTTCACCGGACAGAACAGCCTTATTAGAAAAGAGTAGCAGACTGTCGCAGACTGTCGCAGAAAACAAGGAATTGCTAAATTTCGAAGTGGATACATGGGTTGATCCAGACCGAGTTAGGCCAATGTAAATGGGCCGATCAGTCAATCATGTTGTCCCCAGCGGGCTCGATCGGGCTTTTCGATCGAAATTCTGCACTACATATGGGGCGGTGAGATATATACCACTTTGTGGTTGTCTCGCTAATAGAAGTCTATGCACTTATTTTAACTTAAACTCATAATCTAAATGACTTTTTTGGCCCCTTCAAACTAACCAGATGATGCCTCCACCGATCATTGCTGCATCATTCTCACCCGTGTCACTGGACCCTTATATACCTTCCGTGCATATATAACATAATAACCCAGTGAAACCATAACAACACCCCCAAATATTACCACACTCCAATTCATGGTACTTGGGTCCACATTCTTCGTCAGGGGGAAGAAGCTAAAGATCAATATGACCAACAAAACCATGATGGAAATAGTGTCACAGATGGGGGTGAACTTGCCCATACTCCAGCGAGCCGGTGGTAGGGGCTGATTGCGCCATCGTCGAAGGCGAACACAGGTGATGGAAATGATATAGGAGGATAGAAGGGCGGCCGTGCCGAGGGACATGATGGCATTGAAAGCCACGGAAGACCCAATATTAATTAGGGAGAGGAGAGAGATAATGACAAGACTGACGCAAAGGGCATTCAGTGGAACAGTGAAGGTTGGGTTAACCTGTTGTCCCCAGTTTAGTCAGAGGCATGGATGGGCGGCGTGTCAAAGAACTCACCTGTGCCAAAAAGTCGGAAAAAGGAAGGCCCTTGTCTCGGGCAAAAGAGTAGATCTGACGGGAGGTTGTGGCGACGTTACTGATTGCCGCACAAAATTGCATGATCATAATTAGAACTGTCATTCCTGTCGTGGCACGGACTGACCCCGTAGCATTGAGGAAGACCTGGATGAAGGGGAAGCCTGTTTCAGACTCAAGCACTTTATCAATGTCGCCCACACAGAACGCAAATGTGATTATCATAATCAAGCCAGTGGACCCGTTGAGGATTAGTGTCCAGACCATACCCATAGGAAGCACCCGGGATGCATCTCGAATTTCCTCCGCTGTATTCCGGTGTTAGTCCTTTCCCCCAGATAGATTGAGGAATAGCGTGATACATACCCATATGAACCGCCGAGTCGGGGCCTTTTCCGGATATATCGTTAGCAACGGCCAACATAGAATACATGAACGCCTGGACATACCGATCAATGCATAGATGGGTCCAACCAGTCCTGCCATGCAGGCGAGTCCATTGTTATCCCAGCCACCCCGATTCTCTATAGAACCAAATACCTCGGAAGCGGGAACCCTAGGGGACAGCACCCAAAGTGGGATCAAAATTCCAAAGAAACCAAAACAGTGCACAATCAAAATGATACCTTCTATCAAGGGAAGCTTCTGGGCCAGGAATGTGTTGAATATCAAGGCTACCAAAAACACTGCAATGACGAGCAGCGTGACGTGCCATGGCTTATTGACATACGTGTCGGGGTAGTTTATCGCAATCACGCCGACCATCATGTTAGCGACTGTATAGCAGCATCCTGCGATACCAGTGTGCCACCCTAACACACAAATCCATCCAGTAATGTAACTCAATAGAGCCTGAGCACTCGGGGGCGCGAACTCCGACACCCAATGATACTGACCACCGGACAATGGGGCCCTGAAAAGAATCGGAAATAAGAGTTAGCGATCTCATCATCAAGACATCTGAGCTATGCATACATGGAAGCCATCTCAGCCATTGAGAGGATCACAAAGCTGAACCCTGCCAGGCCTCCCAGGTAAGTATAGATCATACCTCCTTTGCCGCCATTGGTCAACCCATTAGATGAACCACTAATGCAATAGGTCAGCAAACGATCCCAATATAATATAACGAGGTGGATTATCCTAGTTAAGATATCAACCAGTTTACTTGGAAAGACTTACAAGAGAACTGCTTCCCATGTGCACATAAGCACCGCCGTAAATCCAAGCACGGAAAGAAACCGGAAGTTTCTCTGCAGCAGGTGTCATTTTTTGCTTTCTTTCTTTCTTTCTTTCTTTTTTTTTTTTTTACGGGGTTGGTGATTTGGAAGGGAAGACTCAAAAATGTTGAGTAGACTTGCGTACGTTTAGTTCCTGATCTCGACCGGCACGCCACATGTCTTGCTTATCCTGCACCGTGCCTGCCTTTTGGGAAGGGACGTCCAAAGAAGAGGTCTCCGGAGTAGAGTGTTGAACGTTCAACATGATTCCGTCTTCGCGTCCCATAGTGAATAATGATCACTTCAATTCCAGCGATCCGTAGGGAAATGAACAAGGTGTGAGGGGGAAAACCAGGAAAAAGGTAGAAAAAATGAGAAACTAGGAAGTAGATAAAGAAATTTAGAATATGGACTCAATGATATTGAAAATATGGCGAGAATGTAACGGTCCTTCCGGTTGAAATTACAGCATAGGCACAGGGACAGATACTATGCCGAAAAGAAAAGAACAAAAAAGAAAACATGGTAGTAATAATATTTTATATATCCCTGATCAGCAAGCAAAGCTTGTGGTTGGCAGCGGCCAAAGTACGATACACTAGGGCACCACTAGAAGCGCGCCGGTCGTGAGAGATAAAACACACCATAGTACATCATCCATCCCAACACCAGGAGCTGGGTATGTGTTTATATATACGAGGTACTCCATATACCAGTATGCCCTTTTTGCATGATTAACCCAGTCTAAGGAGAAAATACCCCTCGGCCTTGAGAGGTTTTTAAGCATAATTACAGTCCTTAGGTCTGTCTGCCTTTAGCCGTCCCGCTGCATTCTGACCCCATTCAGGATCATAATCCCAGTCATGTACTCAATTTATTGGGATATTCTGATTGGGTGAATTATTATGTCGATCCATAACTCCTCTGGGGTTAGCTCTATACGTACTCCGTACTCCGTACTTCACGCATATGCGAACGATGGTCTGGGCCAACAACCCTAGAGATTCGGCCTCACATACAGCATTGTCCATGCAGATCTTGTATTTTGTTACTGTACGTAAAGATTTTAATATATAGGATCGGAAACACCATGCTAATTCTCACCCCTACGCGGTCCAAGACACATAATATAAAATACTCGTGGTCGGACATAATTCTCATACCTAGGTGATCTAAATACTTACTGGTTTTCCCTAAATCGAGACCAACCTACTCCATACGGAGTACATATGAAGCTATTATTATTTCCTTTACATACTTACCACACTAATAGACCGAAAAATTACTTAATACCGACCCTTTTTTATTTGATAAGTAAGGTTGATGCGAAAAGAGGGAATTATACTCCGTAGAGGTTCCTCTAATTGGGTAATTCCAAAATTGATTAATTAGTTGTGATCAGCTCTTTAAAATTAACATACTACTACAAAATGATATATAGGGTCCACGTATACACATCGGATATAAACTTGGTACGGGACATAATCGTCTGTGCAATATACCAAGCCTACCAAGATCCCTGTCGTTCATTTAATCCTTCGATTCATTCATCTGCGGCAAACATGGCCCCGGTATTCCCCAAAAGTTATAACCACGATCCATTGCAAAATCTCTGCTTTCCGGTTTCCATTGCATCTCGACTATCTGGACCCCCTCATGGAAACTGTCTCCCCCTATACAGTCTCCGCGACGAATCGAAGTGGGTTGATTGTCATTGTTGAAACACTGTTTATGACGTGGATGATAATAGTGAATCTGATTCGACTGTACATGCGTCTGGCGATCAACGGACCAGTCAAGATTGACGATGTGGTAGTGTTTACCGGGAGTGTAAGTCCTATTTGCCATTATTCCCCTCCCTAACCTTTCCTCATTTTGCCCCTATCACCACAGCTGCTAAGTTCTATCCACCTATCTCTAACACTGATCGGACTTGACTTGCTAGGTAATAGCCATCGCTCATGTCGGAACAATAATGGACGCAATCTCCCATGGCCTGGGCCGATCAGAGGACGAAAGCTCGGCCTCTAACTTAATACGCGCTGGAAAGGTTGCTTCCCTCCCCCGCAAACCCCCAAATTCGGCCTCCCAGCTCCACTCAAAAGAAGGAAGAATGAACTGACGGATACTGATTCAGGACGTCTATGCAGCGAACCTCTTATTCCTGGCTGGGCACGGCGCGGCCAAGATATCCATATGTTTGCTTCTCAAACAACTGGGCCGGCAAAAGGGCTACTTGCTCTGCTCCAAGATCCTTCTGGGAATAGTAGCAGCGTGGATGCTTGGTTCGATTCTCGCGGTTGCCTTTAGTTGCTTCCCACAATATCAATTCTCCATGGCCCAGCATTGTACTAATATTGTGCGTTATACTTGCTCACAGCGAGCGATCTAACTGACAATTGAGAGCAGGGTATTGCCTGGAAAATGATCACTGCATTTGATGCGATTACGGATACCCTTACCTTTGGGCTGTGTATATTACTGGTTTGGGGGGTTCAGATGCGGTGGAAGCAAAAATGGGCGGTAATTTTTGCTTTTGGGACAAGAGCTTCGTGAGTATCTGATATCGCAAAAACGAAGGTATTCAAGAAGAAGAACTGCAATTGCTGATAATTTTCCCGCGATATCTAGGGTTGTTATTCTAATTATACTCCGCCAAACCTATCTTAACCGCTCGCTTTTCCTTCCCGACGCACCTCTACATCAATCGGATGCAATTATCGTGACCGCCATTCTCCTTCATTGCAGCATTATGGTGTCCACCGTGCCATGCCTGAAGCCATTTTTTGTTTCATTCAACACTGGATGGGGGCAGGGAATCACAAATAGGAACGGCCAAAGTTCATATTTCACACCTACTGGGAAGAGCGCATCGGCCAACCAATCCCACGTGTTCTCAATGAACCGAGAAGAGGGGGACGAGATTAATCTGACTACTTCCCGGCAGTCGCAGGATAGCCAGCACTCCCAACGCCTGATTATTCACCAAGTGCAGGAGTGGAAGGTGGAGGAGGAATATGAGATGCACTCAATACGAGATAGAATTTGAATCATCATACTATAAGACGAATGGCCTCTTAATTATAATCTGTTGGGTTGGACTTATATGAAATGCTATATGTTATTTGAGAGAAGTGATGTTCCAAAGTTGTGTGGAGCCCTTGTTGTGAAGACAGTGCGGTAATCATCCATCCATGGGATCAGTTCATTCATGCAAATACAAATGGAATATCCCTTCAAGACGGAAGCTTTAGTTCAGGTGTTCTGATCAAATTTCATCTCCGTTTGTTTCCGTTTATGAAGCCATATTCTCGTTCATCTTCCATCAAATTGGTAAGATGGCCGAGTTGGTCTAAGGCGCCAGGTTAAGGTATACCTTAACTCCACAACTAGCAATAGTTTCCTGGTCTCGCAAGAGGCGTGGGTTCGAATCCCACTCTTATCATATCTTTTTGTTTTTGTTCATATTCGTCTGGATATAAGACTTTTGTTAGCTCGATTTGGGTTATTTTGGTGTGAAAGTGGTGATTGAATTTTTTTAAAGTTGTGCGTTTTGCAGATCTTTATCCTATGCTGCGTACATACCTAAGTGCAGTAGTCACAATGAATTTTTCACAGTTCCTATATTCTTTCTAAGGCTACGTACTATGCAGACGTTCACTGGTTTCAATTAACATTTTTATATTTATTCCTGCTTGTTTCTTCTGTCCGTCTTATATCACATATGTTTTAGTTGTTAACATACAGGAATCTACTCGAATAGGGCTACATATTTACTTGGCCGCCAGTTCCCTATAGGACTGGCCCGACTGACCAATGAACTCAAACAAAAATGGAAGCCATGCAAATCTAGTTCCAGACCATATTTGGCCTCGAAAAAAGCAAAAAGATATGATAAGAGTGGGATTTGAACCCACGCCCCTTTCGAGACACGGAGACAGTTGTGTACCATCGGGATCAGGTGGACCTGAACCGTGCGCCTTAGACCAACTCGGCCATCTTACCAATTTGATGGAAGATGGTTGGACTTTTGAATTTATGAATGGAAGCACTTGTATTAGGGCTTTCGGTACACCAGCTCATGGTGCTATTCCTTGTACAGCTTCACATGTCAATTCTGAGGTAGTGTAAGTCAGTACTGGCATTCTATGCTTTTTTAGTTATCTTTAAATCTTTTTTTCCATTAGTTGATAGTTGGTGGATTTTATTCAATATATGCCGAGGGGCTGCTGAGGGGCCAAAATATATATTCAAACTCGAGGGTACCGTATTAATTGATAATACTACACAACCATAGTGTATCGCCTTGTTCTAACAAATTATAATCTGCTCTATTCCATCAATCCTTCCTTTCCAGGTAAGGCAGACATGCCTCATAAACCTCCCCATAACCAGGGTACTTGACTATTCTCCGAAACACTCCCTCATCAATCACTCTAACAGACTGAAGTGACCCGGCAATGAAGAAATCAGTGTAGCTTGGCCGGGCACCAAGCACAAACGGTCCATCCGCATTGTTCACCCGCATTAGCTCCCCAATAGCGCCCATAGCGTCGCCAACACCGTCCCAGACCTGCTCCTCCTTGTCCCCGTCAAGCAGATCCTCAAGAGGATGTCCAAGGGCGGCTTCGCGCGTGCGCCGGAAATATTCCTGCGAGCGCGGCGACAAGATACGGACCTCGCGCGGCATCACTGACGAGTAGATGGCCTTGCCGAGCACACCGCGTGCTTTGGTCTCGATCTCGCGACCAAGGTCTGAGGTTAGTGGCATTGGTGGGTCTGGGTAGGTCGACTCTAAGAATTGCGCGATCGGGAGTGAGTCCATAATGTATGTGTTGGTTGGCACATGTTGGATTGCGGGGACGGTGTATTTGGATTCCCCCCCTAGAACCAGGCCACTGGGTGATTTGGAGTTAGCTGGGGAACCTCATGTGCGATCCAAGGTCGAGGCTATGCGTTGAGACATGCAAATGAAGCAAAGGGGATTGGATATAAAGAATGAAAATCATAAGAATCTAAATGTAACATACAGGCTCTTGAGCGTAGGCTCAATGTCCGGAAACTCGAGGAAGATGGTCTTGTAAGGAATATTCTTGTAGTTGAGCATGAGGCGAATGCGCCAGACAACGGGAGAGAAGCTGACGTGCTTAGTGCAGGCCAAATCGTACAAAACGATCTCGGGTTCGGGTTGGGCGGCCATTTCCTCCTGTTGTATTTTGATAAAAAATTAAAGGTGAAATGCGATGTAAAGCAAATGATAGAGCACCAGGCGTGATACACAGAGACCGAGGGAAAAGTGATGAGAAGGCCGATGTTGGAATGCTGATAGAGTCAATGGCGGGCCCGGGGCAGCACGGCTTTATACGAACAAGCACGACCCTGCAGATGCTTAATGATGGAAATGCTATATATAGAATAGCTGACCATCCATAGAGGGTTGCGACCTGAGCTGACTAAATACCAAGTTAGTGCTTAGGTGTATTTCGTTCCTTAAACCAAGGATGGATTATATGAGCCCTATTAACTGTATCCCGAATCCTAACTAAACATCAATACCCAGTCCCGACAATGTTCTCTGTGTTTTGATAGCCTAAGGAAGCATAAGTGGATAGCTTGAAAAGGGTTCCATTCATAAATTCAAAAGTCCAACCATCTTCCATCAAATTGGTAAGATGGCCGAGTTGGTCTAAGGCGCACGGTTCAGGTCCACCTGATCCCGATGGTACACAACTGTCTCCGTGTCTCGAAAGGGGCGTGGGTTCAAATCCCACTCTTATCACATCTTTTTGTTTTTTTGTTGCTCGGTCTCCCTCATCGCAATAATAATGTGATTGGTGGAAATTTAAGGACTGTGGTGGTTTCTTTTGTTGGATGTGTATATAGTCTGGTGTAATTTGTATCAAGGAACGCAAGGTAGAAGTTGGACGCAGAAGACTGTAAGAAATTTATTATAAAAGCATAACCGTAGACGGCAGGAAAACAAGAGGAAAGCGAATAAGTGGCGTATGAAATATGAAATATCTACAGTGAGTATGTGCATATCTATAGTCTAGTCCTACAAGGAAGAGACGAGGAAGAAAACCAGAACAGAAGACCAGACCACCAGGCCAAATTAATGAGCCTACAACCAGAGAGAGCACATCCCACAAGCCACGAGTGACCAAAGGTAGTAAATAGCACACCAGAAATCAATCAGAATGTTCAATATACTACAATGTACAGACTGGTTCTATGTACAGTTCCTGAACCGAGCCCGCAAAGAATTGCCAAATGCCAGAGTGAGACGATGGAAAACAAGAATAAACAATAAGAAGGGTTGGAGCCACTACAGCTTAGCCTTGGGAGCAGACTGCTCCTCGACGGCCTGCTCGTAGAGCTGATCCAAAAGGGAACGGTACAGCTTAACGGCGGGAGGACGCTTGAGCTTGAGACTGCGGAAAGAAGAAAATAATGTTAGCAATGCTGGGAGTAGGGAGGCGGAAATAAAAACTTACGTCGGGGTCAACAAGTTGTTCTCAACGGTGAACGGCTCCACCTTGAGAGAGACGTTGCGGATTCTCTCATATCCAGCAAACTTGTGCTTCTTAGCCACGCGCTCGAGATCGCGGAGGACAGCACGGCGGATTTTTTCATTGCCCAGAGATTCCTTGACCGCTTCCAAGTCCGTGGGGTCAATGGTTTTGTCCAGAACTTTGCTGGCAAACGGAGCGAAGAGGTCAGGTGCGACACCGAAGATGCCAACCAGGAAGGTCTGCATGCTGTCGCCGTGAACATAAGCCTGGGCGACATAGCCGAGCTCGGCAAGGACGACGCCCTCCAGACGCTCGGGGGAGATATACTCGCCCTGGGCAAGCTTGAGCACGTTCTTGCGGCGGTCGATGATGATGAAGCGGCCCATTGCGTCGATTGTGCAGACATCGCCAGTACGGAACCAGCCGTCCTCGGTGATGGCACTGCGGGTCTCATCCTCGTTCTTGAAGTACTCACGGAACATGTTGTTGCCGCGCAGCAAGAGCTCGCCACGGGGGAACGGCTTGTCGTCCACTGAGTACTCCATGTCTGGCAGGGAGGCTAAGCATGCCTCAGTGCAGGGTGCGAGACTACCGCAATTGCCGGAGGTCAGATCGTAGGTCGGCTGGGCGGTTGCTGAGGCGTAGGACTCGGTCAAGCCGTAACCCTGAAGAACGTCCATGCCAGTGGCGACACGCAGGAAGTCGTGCAGGGTGGGGTCCAAGGGCGCGGAGCCAGACACCATATACCTGGTTCGCTCCAGACCAAGAGCGGCACTCACCTTCTTAGCCCAGATGCGATCGTAGAAAGCATGTCTGACTGTCGCCTTGGAGGGATCGGGGTTCTTCATGTTTGCGGTTTTAGTCGCAACGATGTGTCGCGAAAGAGCGCCCTTGAAGCCAGCCTGCTCCACTGTTGCGGAACGAATGGCGCTACCAAATCGGCTATAAAGACGAGGAACAGACATGAAACCAGTGGGCTTCAGCAACTTCAAATCGTCGACCAACTCCACGATGTTTCCGTGGAAATAACCAATCCGTGCACCACCCCAGAAAGCACAGTGCTCTGCGAGACGGGCATAAATATGGGCCAGCGGCAGATAAGAGGCCGCTGTGTCACCTCGGCCTTGACCGATAGTGATCAGACCGCAGGACGTGGCGGCCACGGCATTGCCGTGTGTCAAAACGACACCCTTTGGGGGACCGGTCGTGCCGGAGGTGTAGTTGATAGTGACAATATCCGAAGCAGACGGAGGATTATATCCGCGCTTCGATGCCAAGCCCAGCTCCTCAACCTGATCAATAGTGTAGATCGTCAGGCCCAGACCGGCGGCCATGGACTCAAGAAGGGCACGCTTAGAGTGACCGGCCTGCTCACCTCCATCCAACGGGTCCAAACTGACAATAATCTTCAGGTTTGGGAGAGAAGGCTTGAGCTTGAGCAGAGTGGGGATATGTGGTAGAGAAGTGACAACACAGCTTAGCTCGGCGTGGTTGATAATATATTCGGTAGCGTCTGGGGACAGGACATCGTAGATTGAAACGGAGTAAAGAGATTGGGAAATGCAAGCCAGATCTGTAAAAAGGTTCGGTTTAGCATTCTAACCTTGAATTCTTCGTCCTCGAGACACTACTCACCAGTGATCTGCCATTCTGGTCGGTTCTGGGACCAGAGACCGATACCATACTGGCCAGAGCGATGGCACTCGTGCTTGTGGTGCAGCTCTACGAGACCAGCACCGAAGGCAGCGCGTCTCTTCTGCACAGTCTCATAATCGAGCCACTGGTATTGATCCCAGGACTTCGTCGCGGAGTTAAACGGACGCCAACCGAGGCAGTGACTCTTGGGCAGGCGGTTGGCGGTCGACTCAAACATATCATGGGCTGTGGTGACCTAAAATCGGTCAATATTAAGATATTTGTCGCATTCGCGCGTGGGCCTCTGTACCTGGGGGTCCAATGTCGTCAAAAGTTCCTTCTGCGCATTCCATGCTCGGTATACCCGACTCCGGCCGGGCTGTTCAGTGCCGGGAATGGCGACGGAGTAAGCTACACCCTTGGGGGGTGCTCGCTTGAGCTCCTCGGCCTTAGCCAAATGGGGAGGTTGTGAGAAGAACATGTCTATCGGTATAGCGGTCAGCGAAGAGACGAGAATAAACCCTAGGCGGACGAACCAAAATCAAAATCTATGTGAATAAGGAAAAGAGTGAGAAAAAATAAAGGCCCGAGTAATCCGGATATTAAAGGGGGCAAAAGTGTGGGGGAGAAAACTGGAGTAGCAGGAAAACCGGCGCGATAGACTCTTTTCGGACAACAAAAGACATGAGCCGACAAGGGAACCTCGGCTGTTTGGGATGGGGTACTTGTCATAGAGTGGTACTTCCCATATTATCTCAAGTACCTGCGCTAGTGGGGTTTGCTTACATATTCCGCGTCATTTGCTGGGCCCGGGGACCACATGCACTAATTTTCACATGGACCGAGATTGTTGGGAATCTATCTTAAAATTGTGGATACTGGAAGGAGTTGAATGTATTGAGATGCATTGAGATGGAATAAGATATATTGTTGGAATGTATATATATATGCGTAAAAAAAAAAAGATAACGCCCATAAAATATGCAAAAGAAAGTAAAATATATATACAGTGAGATCGATAGTCTCTAATTACAGTCTCTAATTACCCGCAAATCCACTTCCATGCTTTGCCATACCATGTAGTTGGCTCAATAGTCTCCCATGTCTCGTTATCAGCGGTAGTGCGGCCGGTATCAAGGTCGGCCTCAATGGGCTTGACAAAGGCGGGGCGGTAGATGATCTTGTGTCCCGCATATAACACCACGAACAAAATCAAGCTCAGGTAGTTAATGAAGAAGTCCTTAACTTGGAAGGTCGGGATGAAGGCGGTGAAGCCCTGGGTGATAATGATCAGACAGTTGAAAAACAGACCATACCATGAGAACCAGGGTTGCCAGAGAGCCTTGTAGGGAAGGATGTCCCGAGAGATGTTGCGAGCCTTAAGCGCGCGCTGGAAGGCAAGGTGACAGGCGTTCAGTGAACACCAGGTGATGAAACCAGCCACACCTGAGATCTGAAGCAACCAAGTGAACACCGTGCTGCCTGCATCGGAGACGTTCAAGAATCCGAGCAGACCGAAGGCCGCGGTGAAAATTACACTGTAGTAAGGGACACCACGCTTGCTGGTCTTCTTGAACCAATGAGGGGCGAAACCTTCCTGGGCTAGACCCACCAGGATACGGCTCCCACTGTAGACGTTGGAGTTGGCTGCCGAAAGCACCACGGTCAGAAGAACGGCGTTAATGATACCGGGGAGAGCCATGACGCCGGCACGGTTGGCAGCAATGACAAACGGCGAGGCGTTGGCGTTTGATGCAGAAGCACCACTTCCCTCGCTAGCCAACAGACGGTCGTCATCGGAGGGAACGACAATTCCGAGGAAGAAGATTGTTAGGATGAAGAAGAAGACGATGCGGAAAAAGGTTTTGCGAATGGCAGATGGGACGGTCTTGCGAGGGTTCTCGGTTTCACCGGCCGCAATACCAACCAGTTCGGTTCCCTGGTAGGAAAATCCGGCCTGAATAAGCGTGGACCAGAATCCAACAAACTTGGCCAACGAATCGTTGCCGTTAATTAGGTAAGGGACGAATGGGCCGGGGTGCACCCAGTACCGGAAACCCAGATACCCTTCTTTACCGACGCCGGCGTTCATGCAGATCGAGAAGATCATAAAGCCGACCACGGTAATAACCTTGATACTCGCGAACCAGAACTCGATTTCACCATAGAAGGCCACGGGCATCATGTTGAAAATGATAATCACGACCCAGAAGACGGCAATAAAGATAGAGATCGGAATGGTGCTATCCCAGAACTGGATGATCAAACCGGTTGCGGTCAACTCTAGTGCAAATGTTGATGCCCACGAGAACCAATAAATCCAACCCATCGCAAAGCCCAGACTGGGGTCAATCAGGCGAGCAGCGTATGAGGTGAATGCACCAGGAATCGGGATATATGTTGCGATTTCTCCGAGAGCGGTCATAACCGAGTAGACGATCGTTCCGACGAAGATATAAGCGATGAGAGCGCCCACAGGGCCTCCGTGAGCAATGGCGGTGCCGCTACCAATGAATAAACCGGTACCTATTGTGCCGCCTTCGAAGACTGTTAGTCCGGATATTCTGATTCTCATGGACAATATCATCCCACTCACCAATGGCAATCATCTGCAGATGTCTGCTCTTCAACTTCCGCTTGAGATCCGGCAGCGGGTTCGCCTCACGCTGGGCACCATGCTTCTCGTAGTCGATATCATAGTCTGTGTTCTGTGCTTGGACTTGCACAGGCATTTCAGCGCCCATCTTTCCCTCTGACTTGTCTGGCGCCATGTCTGCTTCGGGGGGCAAGACAAATTGGGGAGCTTCAAGATGGGATAAAGAGGAGAAAGAAAGGATGTGAGAAGACTGTAACCAGTATCCACTCTATTAAGCCAACGAGTCCGAAGACAGGCTTTTTTCCTCTGTGGAGTAACACGACACTACGTCGGCAACACCTTGAGGGGAAAATATATATGTTATGTAAAAGAAAAGAGGAATTTGAGGGGAAACAGATGGGGTTCCTTTCTATTATCTATTATTCCATTCTATTATTCCATCTTACTTTTTTTTTTCTCCGACCAGGATCAATTTTTCTCTTTTTCCCTTTTTTTTTTCTCGCCAATGCCACCCGTGTGGGCCAATTTTGCCGGGAAGAGTTTTCTTTGGTGGCGACTCTTTTGCGCCCCCCTTAGTATAATCATTTTGGTATATATTTGATATTTTCATATTCGATAGTCTTTTCTCAATCTAGAACATATGATTTATTATATAGTCTATTATATAATGATATTAATTGTGCATTGTAATAGATAAGGCAAAACACGTCTATAGGTGGTTTATACATAGAGTAGACTACACGTAGGTATATAACCATGTAGTATATTTTGTTGAACATGAGATCCTATCCTCTTCCCTAGTACACCTCGTCCTTTTGAGACTTTACAACATACACTGAAATAAGAATCGAGTAATAAATTATGTTGCAGCCACAAATACTTGGCATCGGGCTAAGCGGAGTCGGGATGCCGTTTGCGGAGATAAACTTAGAGCTAGCTACAGGGCTAGTCATAAGAATGACAACAAATATCCAATCTACAACATATACGGAGTATGTACAACATAGATCAAACATCTCGGAGCTTTTAAAGAGCATGTTGTACGCAAATAGCCATAACACACTCATCGTACATATCTTATTTTTCGCTTTTATATCGCGTTCGATGTTGGTTTCTCGTATGACCAGCCTTAGCATTTATGCGATATGTACTCCGTATTGTATTTGTATTTTGACTCATGAACTTTGATTTTTGATTAATAGAATAGATTGGATTGTTAGGTGTTAGCACCGAAAATTCAGACTGGAATTCATTTGTATCCACCACGTACTCGGGGCCGCCGCCCGGGAGGCAACTGTGCCTTATTAGTGGAGCGCAGACTGAGACCTGGGGCCTTTTTTTTTTTTTCTTTTTTTTTTTTTTTTTTTTTTTTTTTTGGACGCGTTCTTATCTTGTTTATTACTTTCTCTAGGTCCTGGAACTTGATTAGTTGGATACAGTAATTTCATTTTCGGTTGCTTCTTTTGCTACTTCGTACTCAACTCCGTATAAAAACCAACCTAGGCTCATATCTCAGATGCCCTAAGGACATGTGCATTTGAATTGAGACTACGAAGTAATTGAGTCCAAATTCACAGGAACGGAACAAATATAGACCCAGACAATTCCTTATTCGACTATGATATAGGAGTGAAGAATAATCTTCTGCCAGTAATGATAGTAAATAGGATCAAATACCATGGTGGCACACTTCGTCGCCTGTCTGCTCGCTTGTCTCGAGACCAACTTAGGTACCGGAGGCGTAGATGGTAAAGAAACAAAAGGATGTCTATACAACGTGACGCGGTATTGCGGTAAAAGCGGCAATCCTCTATATCACAGCATCGACGGCAGATGAGATAGTCCAACAGATACGGACATAAAGCAAGACCGATTGTGTACCTAGGTACTCCGTATTGTAAAATTAGTAGTCTGTAATGTAAAGCAGAGTTATAAGGGGCTTGTACATAGCAATATATTGGGGAACAAAGAACCCAATCCTTTTCAACGAGCGCTCCAGCAGTGGCATTTCTTTGGGCGGAGGGCCGTCCTTGGCCTGTGTTTGTTGATCCGATCCTAGAGAGTGACCGAGGGCGTTTTCAATGTCCATTGTGAATCCTACAAGGCTCTGTAGACTAGGTAATGCTTGGGATGCTGGAACCGAGGGTGGGATTAAGTGTTGGAAAACAGAACGGAGCCTAGGGTCACCCCTACGGCAATCTCCAAGGCTTCCAGCAAAACATCTCCAGCTTGTGATTTTTATGGGTCAGATGGACTAGATTCGGTAGATCGGGGTTTAGATTATTCCGGCCAAATGTTGCCTATTGAGTTGTTAGCTTCAGTGTCGATCATTGCTCATTACCAGAGATATAGCTCTTCTTACAGACCCAACGACTTATCTTTACAGCCGATACAGACTTGCCCTGAGAGAAACATATGGCTTAAACAGAAGAGACGACGTCAAGGGCCATGAATCATGTTAAAAAACTTGAAAATAGATGCTAAAGGAATGCTGCAGAAACTGGCTAAATAGTGCAAAATATAAATCATAACAATTATAGCTGATTTCCACCCCTTTTTACACACGAGATTGTCGTAAACATATCATGAATAAGATAAAATGAAACAAGTCCGGTGCAATGCTCATCGCTCCAAGCCTACATTTGAGATTTTATGCACAAGAATAGGATCGTGTCAGACTGGACTTTGCAGTACGACTCGCCTTTGGGTAAAGGGTCCAAACAGCCCTTTGAGTCCCATCCAGGGTGTATTAATCGGAGTATCTATCCCAGTATACAGGAATATATCGTAGATCCATCCGCCGAAGGTGCAACCTAATATTGGTGCAACCATAGGAACCTAAGAAAATGTTTGTAAGCCAAAGAAGTCCAGAAGGTCCGATGCATGTAGTCTACACTAGTCTGCGGATAAAACGTACCCAGAAGTAATAGCCCCCCGCAGCCCATACTTCATGCCCATATCCAATCATGTAGGATGTTAGTCGAGGCCCAAAGTCCCGTGCCAGGTTGATAGCATATCCGGTCTCCCATCCAAAGCACGCGCCAATGCCAAAGATAACGAAGAATAGCGCCAGAGGCATCAGCGGCCCGGCGCCTAGATTGCCGTCGTCTTTCAGAGCGAATATCATGAACATCAAGACCGCGCTGGCAAGGAACTCAGAGAAGAATTGCGCCGTCTTTGTCATGAATTCTGCTGGGTAGGTGCAGAAGATGCCGCCTGTTGCTGTTGTCGAGTAGCCGGGGACTGTGCGGATATTTGGCCCGCCCTCGTAGACGTTGATGGCTGACTTATAGTTGCCGTAAACAATAGCGGAACCGCACATTGCGCCGAGGGTTTGGGCTAGTGCGTAGACGGGGAGTTTGCGCCAGGGGAAGCCGCGGAGCACGCAGCTCGCAAATGTCACAGCAGGATTGATGTGGCCTCCTGATGCTCCGCTGGTGTACACTCCGAGCATAACGCCGAGTCTGATAAATGGGTTGGTTAGAAGAGAGTATTGATTGATGATATAAAGAGAAGGAGAGCCTTACCCCCATCCCCAAGAGATAGATTGGTAGTCACCCTCCTGACCATGACTGAGTAGCACCTGAGCAACGACCCCATCCCCAAATAAAATCAAGATCATCGTCCCAAAAAACTCCGAGAATGCATCACGACAGTACTCCCTCACTTTGAACCAGAGAAGAGGGCGAGTATAAGGACTTTCAACGTCGGAGTTTATATGATGGACAGCCGTTTCATTCTTATTAGTCATACACAGTGAGCCACAGCCACTGTCATGACTGCTGGAGGGTAGAGTTTCACGATGAACTTTTGACATTGGATCAAGCTCAAGCTCAAGCTCCTTCCAGGTAGCCATCGAAGGGGCAGCCCAAGCTCTGGGGCTCAGGGTTGGGGCTTCGAGTTGATATAGTACCGCGAACCAGAGGGAATCTCGCCAACCACACGAAAATGATATGGTAGTCCCTCCGGTATGTCAAGCAGAAGCAGGGAAAACCGTGTAACCAACCCTTTGCACTCTGTGATGTCCTTTGGGCAAGAGGGTGGCTTGATTGGCTGATGCAGGGTCTTGTCTTGGAAGATAGTGTGTGTCTGTGTGTATTGTCCTCCTGATTTCAAGCCCCAGAGCTAGAGCGTGCAAGCTTACAGGGAAGATATCAGCTGAAGTCAAATCCAGATAGACTCGGAATCATCAAGTATACATATCCCTTTTATTGAAGTGGATTGACCGGCCATTGTCCTTTTTGTGACCACGCTTTTTGTTCCTCCACACAGAGAAGGATTTTTATGACAGCGCATCTCTACCCATAGCTTATTTCAGGGGTCGTTTGTAGGAACGTCCGTTTGGCCTGGGTAGCCGGAAGTCACTGTCCGATCCCGGTTGGGTTGTTTCCTCTCCTTTGGGTACTGCTTGGACACCCCAATGTTGTGTATAGTTCCCGCTTACCGTATTTCCCATGACTGTCATGACTGTAGGAAGAAGCTTGTATGTCTTCTGTTACGCATAGTCAACTTGTCGGGTGCTAGACCTCACGCAGACCCAATTGTAATTTTCTAGAAAGTCCAAACTGTGTCACCTTGAGGCGGCAAGCTTCTCCAAAGTGAAGCGAGAGTAGCCGGAAGAGACTGGTCTTCCCCCACGATGATGCTAAGGGTAGTATTTTGTCACTTTTAGGTTCTCGTCGGTAGTGACACAATTGACTGCTGTCCGTATGACCATATACTTGAAGGTAGCATCACCGAGACCGGGGTTATGGGGATTTGACTCTGTGAGTGTGGTAGAAGTGATGTCTTGTCCTCCAGTGCTTAACACTGCAGTGTTCATGATGCAAAAATGGCCAATATGGGCTTGCAAATAAAATTTCACTCCCGACCAGTCTAGAAGTTCTAATTTGGGCCGTTTATCGGCAGATGTCTGGTTGGCCTGCTGGTGCTGCATATATGACAACGGAATAAGACCGAGTCAGTGCGCAATTCCCCACTGATTTGGATCTGACAGTTCGTCAAATCAACCGAGTCGTCAATCATCTGCTGATCTCTCCCCACAATATGCAGGAAGCACACGCTGACAGGGTTTGAGGGAAAGTCGGGATGAGAGAGCCGTTTTCCGAGGATATCTTTTCCCAAATGAGTCCAAAGTGCACTGACACTTAGATAATTCCACAATTAAGTTCCAAGAACTGTTCCAAGAACGAGTCTACACGAAGAGCCAATACCCGTTGTCGCAAGCCCGTTTTCACCTTGTCATCCCACGTCTGACTAGGGGTAATCCCACCAATCCCTTCTCTCGGTTCCCCCCCTCATTCTTCAAATCAGCACCCCGCTGTGTAACTGTGAGGCTATTATGTGCGGATGGTTTTATTTATGTGTTTGGGGCCCCCTGCTGTATCTCGGGATTTTCCGCGCTTGGGTGTATCGCAACTTTAACGTCTCGTGTCATGCGCAAATATACGACGTGTTTGCTTTTCTCCGTCGTAAATTCCTCCATAACACCCCACAACCATGCAGCCCTCAACTACCTTTGTGGGATCAATCGATCAAGGCACAACGAGCACCAGATTTCTAATCTTCAACCGCGAAGGCGAGACAGTAGCATCACATCAAGTCGAGTTCAGCCAAATCTACCCGAATCCGGGGTAAGTTCCAGTCCAATCTAATAGCAAGACCAAAAGCCTAACTTGGATGTAAAATTAACCACTCCCAGCTGGCACGAACATGACCCCCTCGAGATTGTAACCTCCGTAGAGACCTGCATCGAAGAAGCCGTCGAGAAGTTCGAAGCCCAAGGCCACACCCGGAGCAGCATCCAAAGCATCGGAATAACCAACCAGCGCGAAACAACCATAGTCTGGGACCACGAGACTGGCGAGCCCTTGTACAATGCTATTGTATGGACAGACACACGGTCTCAGGAGATTGTCGCAGAACTGAAACAGAAACCAGGGGCAGCGCACCTGCAGATACTCTGCGGTCTGCCGCTGTCAACCTACTCGTCGGCCACAAAACTGCTCTGGATGTTGGCGCATGTCCCAAGGGTGAAGGATGCATTTGACCGCGGTACACTGGCGTTTGGTACCGTCGATACTTGGCTGGTATACCGTTTGAACGGTGGCGTGGCTGCCAACGTCTTTGTTTCGGATTCTACAAACGCTTCGCGGACCATGTTTGTGAACCTGGAGACGCTGCAGTACGATGATATGCTTCTTGACTTTTTTGGAATCAGGGATAAACTTCATCTACCTAGGGTTGTGCCATCGTCTGATGCGACAGCGTATGGGGTTGTTGCTTCTGGTTCTTTGGCACGGGTTCCGATTATGGGATGCCTGGGGGATCAGTCTGCGGCATTGGTTGGGCAGAAAGGGTTCTCTCCTGGAATGGCTAAGAACACTTATGGCACTGGATGCTTTCTTTTGTACAATGTTGGTGACAAGCCGGTGTTCTCGACACATGGGCTACTGGCTACAGTGGCTTACCATTTTGGCGGGAAACCTGTCTATGCACTCGAAGGGAGCATTGCTGTTGCTGGCTCTGGGATCAAATTCTTGCAGAATAACTTGGATTTCTTCCAGGAGTCCAAGGATGTCAATGACCTTGCCTACTCGGTGGAAGATAATGGTGGATGTGTGTTTGTCACTGCTTTCAGTGGACTTTTTGCGCCTTATTGGATCGATGATGTAAAAGGGACAATCTGTGAGTTTCTCATTACCTGACTCTTAGATTTTATCTGACGGTGTATACAGTCGGCATCACCCAGTACACCAAAAAAGGCCATATCGCACGCGCTACCCTAGAGGCGACCTGCTTCCAGACCAAAGCAATTCTGGATGCAATGGAGAAAGACAGCGGCCATACACTCTCTGAACTTGCTGTAGATGGAGGTATGAGTAACTCAGATTTGGCAATGCAGGTAAGAAATTATTTTCTTATACATCCATGAGAGTTTGAACAAGTATCAATCTAATCTTAAATCTAGACTCAAGCAGATCTGATATCCATCCCTGTCTACCGCCCCAAGATGCGTGAGACTACAGCTCTCGGTGCAGCAATCGCAGCTGGCCTTGCTGCTAGACTTTGGCATAACTTTGCCGAGCTACGTGATATCAATCGTTCTGGTGGTGCAGTCTTCGAGCCCCAGGTCCCGCCGGAAGAGAGTGCGGAAAAGTTCGGACAATGGGAAAAGGCTGTGAAAATGAGCAGAGGCTGGGTGGGATCTCAGAGTGCCGAGAAGGAAGAAACTGATGGTCTGAACAACAAGACAGTTGTACCAGTGGAGAGCCATGAACTTCCTATGCCCAAGACAACACAGGTCTTGCATAATTCTTTGATCTCAGGTGTGGCTAAAAGCCCTACATACACCACCACTGTCAAAGGGAGGACCCATATTTTGGTCAAGGAGATTGAAGTTCAACCTCTGTCTGAGAAGACGGCATTCGGGACCGTGTCGGGTGATTTGGATGATGCAGACGAAGAGGATTTGTTCTTGGAGCTGCGCAAAGTGGAGATTTTGCAAAGACTTAGGAAGCTACGGAAGTGATAGCCAAATTGCTACTAATTGTATTCTTATTGGATTGAATGGCCTGCTAAATATGTACCCCCTTAAATATCGTAGATGCATCCACTGTTACCAAAGACTCAGATTGAACGATATTCCTCGATAGTCTTCAATATACCCGCTGGATTTCAAAGGGGGTGATGGCTGGGGGAAACGGAACGGGCCGGTGCTGAACTTGTTTGCGATTTCCTAGGAGACGTGTCAAGATATCAGCACAATATCAGTCTTCTGGGAAATTTCGCTCTCGGCAGTGTCGGGGATGCTTAGGGGGCTTGAATCGAGTTGGAAAGCCAACATAATGGTGTCGCTGTCACAGTGTTAGTAATAGGTAGCTGTCTTTGCTAGATTCATGACAACCTGTTCCTGGGAGCACTCTTTTGTGTGGTTATATTAGAGCTTGCAATCCGAAGTGAATCCTCATACAGGGCTTATATGGAGTATATATGGCGAATACCATTCCCCTTGATTTCACACCAAGTACTAAAAATCCACTTTGTTCCAAAAGCCAAAAAAGGCAGGGAATAAATTCGTACCTCAAAATCTCATACTGTAATTCGAAGGATCAACCACTTAAGCAACGCTCGCCTTAACCGCACTGTGGGTAGCCTGTTCGCCCTCCTTAAGGAAAACGCAATTCAACTCGGAGCCAGGACTGAGTGTAACTTCAAATTGAAGCACCGGATCTTCAACCTTATCTTTCCCACCAATAGGCAGCGCAATAATACGCTCATAAGCCTGCAAAATCCGAATAACAGTGTACCCCATCTCAATGATGGCAAATTGCTGCCCAATACAAATCCGCGGTCCACCATTAAAGGGAATGAAATGCCATGGCCTGGGCTGCCAGCCGGAAACCCACCGCTCAGGAATCCACTTCCCAGGATCGAAATAGGTCTTTGATCCCGGGCTATCATATAGATCAGAATCCCGCTGCATCAACATCGTCGAGTAGACAACCCGCGAGTTTGCGCGCACACCCACAGGTGATAGTCCGTCCGGTCCACCACCGCGTGGAAGCGTCGTATCGCGCAGAGAGTAGCGCACGTTGAATGGCACCACTGGGTATAAACGCATTGTTTCGTGCAGCACTGCATTGAGGTACTTCATTTCCTTGAGATCGATGTAGCTGGGTTTCTGGGCATTGGCACCGACACCAAGTCTGTTGCTGATCTCGTTGCGCAGCTTAACAACAACTTCTGGGTTGCGCGAGAGCTCGAAGAGGCAGAAGGATAGAGTGGCGGCTGTTGTATCGCGGCCTGCGAGGAGGACGGCGACGAGTTGGTCACGGAGGACACGAGGGTCGCGGGTAAAGCTGGCAAGTGCATCAAGGAAAGTTTGGTGCTTCGAGAGCTTCTCGTTGAGTTCGTCGGTCGAGTGGGCGAGAACGGTTTGGATGTATGGTTGAATGAACTCGTCCATTATCTTAAGGTTCTTGCGGAATTCAGTGCGTGACAATACGGAGCTAAAGACTCTGTTTTAGGATTGAATGTTAGATTAGCTTCTGCGAGGCTCCAATGACAGGATGTGCTTGCGTCACACAGGATCGAGTATCACTCACCCGAAACGGAAATACTCCGCTTGGCGCTGTTGCACATATCTGAACGCTTTGGCGAACCGTGTTGCCGGGTTATCTAGACTGTCTGTGCCCTTGCCGAGAAGGTAGTCTGTTGCTGCATCGAGAGTATATCGGAAGAAGAGCGACCCGACGTCCACTACCTTGCTGCTGCTAGGCGAGGCACTGCCGCCGAGAAGCGGGATGAGTTTCTGAACATGCTTCTCAAAGATTTCTGTGTCCACGATGCGGTCACGCACGAACATGGGACGAATGAGCTGGCGGGAGCGAGACCATAGTTCTCCATCTGTGGTAAAGATACTGTCGCCAAGGAACTCCTTCCAGTCTCGATGGAAGGACTCACCCTTACCGTAGTCGGCGAACTGGGTAGTGAGGAGCGCCTTGATATTTTCTGGGTCCTTGGTGATGATCATACGGGTAGAAATGCCAGCATCGAGTTCAGCTGTCTTCACATTTGTTAGGCCGCCGGCTTGCCCGACCTTTGTATCCCAGAATTCTATATCGCGGTTCACTTTATTGGCTTGGTAGCCTTGGAAAATGAAATCGAGAGCATACGGGAGACGGAACTCAATTTTGGGGGCTCTGACACCGAGACGGGCGATTTGTGCCGAAGCTTGGAACTTGCGGAATACGCAGAATGCAACGAAAAGCCCTAGAAGCCACACTGAGCCCCGACTGAGTGTCGTCTGTGCGAGGAGGTCTTCGATCATGGTGCCGTTGGACTGGGCAAAGTTGATTTTAGTTTCCCTTCTGGCTCCAAGGGGGCATGTTCATAATAAGAGCCAAAGAGCTGGAATGACAAATGGTATGAAAGCCTCCCCAGGTAGTTTCCAAGGTTATGAGGACAAAGTTGTCATACAGTGTGGACCATACGGGTTCCAGCATTTATCAACACCGGAGGAACAAACGCCCCAATTTCCTTGAGAATAGCCTGTAAACTTTTAGTGTCCAATGATATGTGTTCCCATATCCCAAAAAGGTGTAGAATGATGGCCTAAAGGAGCCGTGCTTGCGAACCCCGCACGATGTGACTTCATGCTTTGTTCATTGACCTCTCTTACTACAAGTTTTCTTTTATAGTGCAATATGGGGTTGGGTCAGGGACAGATCCCAACCAAGGTTCAGTTATCATGTCGGTTTCACACTGTATAATTGTTGTGGAGACACCAATAATCCGGGGAAGATGCAGCATGCATGGCGAAGATACGAGACCTCGGCAGACAAGGAATAATGGCATATGATTCCGAGAGGAGAGATCGACAGCGCTTTGAGGACTCACCTGCAGCCACATAAATATGTCCCTGTACTGCATAACTGTGCACATTTTCTTTTTCAAGATGTGAGGCAGCAAAATATGCCTGATATTTTAGGCCTTACATATTTATACCTCAGGCCACAGGAACTACAGGTCAAGACTGCTGGTAGTACTGTTCCCTTCTTGGACGTCACTTGACGGGTTCTTTGTCTGGTCTGGATCTTTCTCTTTGTGTATAGAAACTGGTTAACCCCATTCACAACAACACAGCTCAATGGCTTATTGGCGGAACAATAGCCATTGTAAATATATAAACCCAAATGTAGTAGTCGTAAATTCCACTCCTTCTTATACCTTTCAACAGCTCTTCCCATCACTTTCATCTGACCACTAATACAGCGCTCTCATCAATTGATAGCAAGATTGACCTTCACGGTATATGTGGTGGTTGTTTGCACAGTATGTACTGCCCCACTTCACCGCCAGCTAACCACAGCCACGTGATCAAACATCCGTTTTGGTCATCGGGTCTTTAGCTTGACTTCAATCTGCTTGCTAAAGTCTTGCTTTCTCTACCAGAACCTGTTACTGGTCTATTAACCTCACTTCTAACCTCAACCGCTACTACATACCGTTTGTATCGCATCTTCATTGTTAGTTGCGCCGATAAGATCCGAAGCACCTTTATCGGGTGGCGCAAGTTCTTTTATCAGCACTGCTGTCTTTGTGAATTTCTCACCAACCGGTCACTTTTTCCTGACTTCATAATCGCCTCCACCATGCTCCCTCAAATTACTCTTGGAACGCCTCTTGCGCAGGCAGTCGCAAATGTCATCCAGCCCAAGTTGGTGGAGATGGGCTGGAGTGATGGCCAAGAGTCACCGTTGATCGAATACATTGTTCTCATGCTGGTCAACGGGAAGACCGAAGAGCAAATCGCCACCGAGCTTTCAAATGATTTCCTTGGCCTTCAGGAAGGTGACACTGCGGCCCTCGAGTTTTCGCAATGGCTTTTCACTCAAGTCGAGATGCTCAACCAACAAATCAACGGGGTTGCCCCGACTTCGGCCAATGCGACCATGGGGCAGTTGAACCCCTCGGCAATGGAATTCGACAATTCAGCTCAAGCGATACCCAATCCGTTTGGAGAGGCCAACGGCCAGGATGCCGAGATGGGCGAGGCCGGGAATGAGTCGATGTAGGTTTTTACCATTCCTTTCTGCTAATATCTACAACATGCTAACATGGCTCCTCAATAGCCCCACTGGACCGAAAGCGATGCGTAACGGCAGAGGTGGCAAGGGAAGAATGTTGAACCAAATCAATCGAAACCTAGACCGTGGCTCGGACGCAGCCCTACATCGTGTACGAGGACAAGGAAACGGGCGCATTGGACACAATGGTCGGGGTCAAATGAGAGGCGCTGGACAGCAAGGTGGTCGCGGTGGTCGTGCTATGGGAATGCCAGGCAACCCCATGATGCAGATGACCCCCGAAAACCAAATGCAGCTTATGTCGATGTTGGAAGAACAGGCCCGGATGATGTCTCAATTCATGCCTGGCTTCATGCCACCCGCTGTTAACCCCGCTTTCCAAAATGGGGCCCAGAATGGTTCTCATGGTCGTTCGCTCTTCAATCGGGTCGAGCGAGGTGGTCAGCGTGGAGGAAAGCGCGGCTACAACAAGCAGAGAGCGGCGGAAGGCGCAGATGTGGACATGGACAGCACAGCGGGTGGTGAACAGGATGAAAGCAACCCCGACAGTGTTTGTCGTTTCAACCAACGATGCACGCGCCAAGATTGCCCCTTTGCGCATCAATCACCTGCCGCGCCCGAAGGGATTTCAATCGATCCTTCTGACACTTGTTCATTCGGTGCAGCTTGCAAGAACAAGAAATGTACCGGACGCCACCCTTCACCAGCAGTACGATCTGCGCACCAGGCCGAGGCCATGTGCCGGTTCTTCCCTCATTGCACCAACCCCAACTGTCAGTTCAAGCACCCGAGTATGCCAATCTGCCGTAATGGAGCCGACTGCAAGACCGAAGGTTGCAAGTTTACACATGTCGAGACCGCCTGCAAGTTCAATCCCTGCCTGAACCCCAAGTGCACCTACAAGCACGCCGAGGGTCAGCGTGGTGCTTACACCGACAAGGTGTGGACTCCGCACTCTGGAGAACACGTCAGCGAGCGCAAGTTTGTTACAGATGTGGATGGACCGCAGGAGTTGATCAAGCCGGAGACCGAGGAGAACACCCAGAGCCAGGAGCTGACCGCGTGACTCCGCCTGACATGACTCAATGAAGAAAATTACTGTTCGAAAAACCAAAACCCGTGAAAAACAAACATCTCACAGCAGTCTGCTTCCGACGTGAAGAATACCATGTACAATCCGATCTTGACCAATGAATGAGGAATGGCTGGAGGGAAGGGCGTTGATACTCTTTATGCATTTGCTTTTGTTTCAGATATTATTATCTGTCCTGTTCATAGATTCCCCCGTTGATCTTCAAAAGAATAATAACGAAGCGAAGACAAATTCGCGAATGTCTCATGAACATTGTCCAAACTCGTAAGTAGTAGGGGGTGAGGACCTGGTGATCTCCAGGCTCCCCACGTAGCTTAAGTAAGGACGGAAGGTTCCGAGGACCTTCGGGTTTAGCTTGAATTCCCCAACCAACTACGGACCAGACCTTGCTCCGATCAGCAGAGATGCGGCTACCATGTGTCCCTAAAGCCCTAAGACCGAGACAGAGGCAATTGAATATTCTCAATGGTCAAAAACGCACATACACTGCCGCCGTGCTTGGCGGTGGCATCACAGGCCTGACATCCGCCTGGCAACTCGCGCAAGACCCCACATGCCGAACAATCAACCTGTTCGAGAAAACGGACCGGCTTGGTGGTTGGATGAACTCCGAAACAGTCCCTGTCGATGGTGGGAATGTGGTGTTCGAGTATGGGCCGCGGACGTTAAGGAGCTCGCTGCCAGGCTCGCTCCCTCTGCTTTACCTGGTGAGTATTACCGGCGTGCACCTACTTCCACTTGAAATAGCTTAATATGCTGACACTTCTGAAAGGCTACAAATCTAGGATTGTACAAAGACCTCATTATTACCCCGAAAACGAGCCCCGCAGCCCAGAATCGCTATATCTACTATCCAGACCGTCTTGTTCGCATGCCGGCGCCAAAGCCTGAACTTTCTTTCGGGGAGAACTTCGACAGTCTCGTGAATACTTTGAAGGAGCCGGTGTTTAACAAATTTCTCTCAGGAATAGTGAAAGATATCTTTGCTCCACCCCGGCACCCAACTGAATGGGCGGAGGATGAGTCTGTTGCAGAGTTCATCGGACGTCGTTTTGGCCCCAAAGTTGCAGATAATCTAGTTTCCGCTGTGTACCACGGAATTTATGCGGGTGATATTGATCGATTGAGTGCCCAAACACTGTTGGGTAGCATCCGCAACCTTGAGGGAGGCATTGGGGGCATCGGTGGGTTGGTTTCTGGTGGAGTTACAGCATCTCTTATCTCCAGGTCGATCTCCAAAACAAAGACTCGGAATATGGATGATTATATGGCTATAGATGTCATGCCCGCAGGCCCCGAATTAGTGCGTCGTCAGCATGATTTAGAAGTCCTTGCGGCTGGAGCTACTACTTTCACCTTTAAGAGGGGCGTTGGGCAGCTTGTCGAAGCACTGATCGCTTCTTTGAAAGCATCCGGCAAAGTCAACTTCCGAATGAACACGGAGATCAAAGCTTTGAGTTCATGGGAAAGTTCTAGTAGGATTGCGGTATGTGAATTATTCCGCATTGCGATGATATATTCCCGAGTTCTCCGGGATTTATGCTGACTGTCAATAGATGGAATATTGGTCAGCTAGACATGGTCAAATAAAGACGTTTGATTATGGATATGTCATATCCACTATTCCTCCAGTTGCACTTGCGAACATCATGCGCAAACCCGAGCAGTCAGAGGCCAACCTGAGCCCTGTGGGATTGGCCCCATCTCTACTACGCAAACAGAACTACGCTGTCACGGCAATGGTCGTTAATCTCTATTACCCAAATCCCAACCTTCTACCTGTGGAGGATGGCTTTGGATACCTCATACCGCGTTCGATACCATACGAACAGAACCCAGAATGTGGACTTGGCGTCATCTTCGCCTCGTCCTCTAGTGTAGGACACGGAACGGATCCTTCATCACCTGAACTCAGCCAAGATTCTGCACCTGGAACGAAACTCACCGTCATGCTAGGAGGTCATTACTGGGATGGCTTCGAAGAGTACCCAGATCACGACACCGCAGTGAAAATGGCCCGCGCCATGCTCAAGAGGCACCTGAATATCACCGATACCCCAACTGCCGCACGGAGTCGTCTCCAGAAGGATGCTATTCCCCAGTACACAGTCGGCCATCTGGACCGTATGTATACACTCTCGAACACAGTTCGCAAGGAGTACAAGAACCGGCTTATTCTCGCGGGCAACTGGTACAATGGAGTAAGTGTGGGCGACTGTGTTAAGCAGGGTATCTTATCTGCCACATACGGCATTGGAAGAAACCGGCTCAATGATGAACCTAGTCCGTGGCGTCCGTGGACCTCCTTTGATTATAGAAGCTGGAAACTCGAGGGTGGCATTGTGACGTCTCCTGTTCGACTGGTTGACTCCAAAATCTGATACTATGTGACTGGTTCATGTGGGTTTGCTACTTGTACTTGGGAATGTACACAAGAGAAGGCCGAAGCCATGTATATTAAATGTATCTTTATAATATCAGTATTTTTTTTCTCGTTGTAAGTTGCAAATCGACGGCGTTGGCCGGATATCATATAGTCATTCTAATGTCTAATTCACTGTCAGCCCATCCATGGACGGTAAACATCGGTCAACAAAAGGTTGAATTCGACCCATTTGAGAAGTCTGTTAACCCCCCTCATTTCTGATCTCAATTCAGAGTCAAGGGCGAGAACACCCAGACCTCCGATGGGCGGAATGGCGGATACGGTGATAACATCCGGAGTCCCTCGCAGGCAAAGCGACGGGTTCCTGGAAGGCTGGAACCGAATGGTTGCAATGTGCGCTGCGATAGGGGTAATATCTCTCACACCCCACGTGGGATAGTCTGGTGGCTCCCAAAGAATGTCTCAGGATGAGTGCAGGAAGCCCCGATGACAATGATATGCACATTGGCATATACTTGACAAATGGATATAGTATAGTAAATATAGTCTGACCCCGCAGTTGAAGGTTCAAAAAGGTATTCATGGATTCACATTGCTGTCCCCATTTTTCTTATCGCCATTGGAATCAAACCCCAACACATCCAGCTGCCGGACAAGTTCCTGGATTTTGATTACCTTCTCCAGCTGCTCGGGCAGCAGGGCCTCTCCCTGCTGCTTCTTATCGCGAAGATCCCGCGCCTGGCGGAGTTTCTTCTTCAGACTGCGGGCTTTCTTCTCCTTCTCGGCTTCGAGATCAAGCGGTTCTTCAGCAGGCTTCTCTTCCTTTGTAGGCGCAGGTGTGGGTGCGGCTGCGGGGACACGCCAGTTGTTTGACTCGGCGCCCTTGCCCTCAGCGGTGGGGCCGGCTTCGTCGGTTTCTTTCGCGTTCCGCTTGGCTTCGCGGCGTTTGGCGTTCTTGTTGCTGGCGGCGGTGGAGGCGGTGGTTGTGGGTTTCATTGCAGCCTTGGTCTTATCTTCTTCGCTGCTCAATGCTTCCGCACCCGGCACCCCACCTTTTCCTCGACTTTTCCATGCCGCCGCCGCACGATTCCTGTAAAGCTCGACATCCTCGGGGGGTTTGTAGCCGGGGCGCACGCGGATCTCCTTGCGCTTCGAGCCATCGGCACGGACCGAGGAGGGAATGTATCGTTCGCCGGTTTTGGCATCGGTGGTGATGCCGGACCTCGCGACGTTGGAGGCCATGGTGTGGTATGTAGAGTCAAATTTGAGTTATGAAGGAGTGAAACAAAGAGTAAATGATAGCAACTTGACAAAGTCAAGCTCCGAGGCAAAGATCAATATCTTTAAAGATCCAAAGTGAAAAACAACGCGAGCATTGAAAGTTGAGTGCGGAAGGCCGGAGGCTCGGCCAATCAGCGGACCGGCAATTCCCGCAGATTCAGCCTTCGCAACTTCACCCTCACAACTTCAACTCTCGTTGCCCCATCCTCCCCTCGAACCCTTTAATTTAGGTCGTGTGAAAACACCCCAATCTCTCACAATGGCTGGTGTATGTTCATACTCCCCCTCCCAGTGCTCCTATTTGCCCTTTTATGTCCAGCGCTGACTGACCTCTCATTACAGTTCGCAAACGCTATCTACTCGCATGTCTCCCCTTCCTTGGTCCTACGATCGCGATCCAAATTATCCAATTGAAATCTAACCGAGGCACTCTTCCCTGTGTTTAGGACCTTCATCCGCAAGAACACTGTTCTCCTGACCACTGCTTTTGCCGGCGCCTTCGCTTTCGAGCTGTAGGTTACATTCAGTTTCCGAGCATGTTAGACATGCTATACACCTTTATACAGAACACTGACCATGCAATGTCAAAACAGTGCCTTCGACATCACCTCCAACAAGGTCTGGGACAGCTGGAACCAGGGCGTATGTGAACCTCTTTCCTGATGGACTACAATACCCGAGGCTAGGACCTACGCTGACTATTTCTCTCACATTACAGCGCCAATGGAAGGACATTAAGCACCGTTACATGGTCAAGGAGGAGGAGGATGACGAGTAAATACACTTGCCGAAAGTGATGTTGTGTTTATTTTACCGCGGGTAAAGGGGCATGGAAAAGCCACCGAAGCTCGTGCTTGTTCTTTCTCATCCCATATGTGGGCTTGTACGCGATAGATGGAAATCTGTATTTTGGCTTTCAATCTCTCTGGTCTGTACGGTTTATGCCTCTTTACCGCATTCGTATACATCGAAAATGACCTTTTAAAACGACCTCTAAAACGACCTCTAAAAAGACATCTAAAACGAACATTGAAAGACACAACGGAGTGTTCATTTAACGTCCTTAATATCATCGGCCAAATAGATCATATCATTAGTCTTACATCGTCAAGGTGCAGAAACGCCGAATACATGTATTCTCTTTCATACCTTCAATGTTCAAGCGGTGGCGTGTTTTCTGTAGGTCAGGCCGTAGCATGTGGCGTTTACTGAAAGACCAATTCCATCGATGTCATAAACGAAAAATGTTATCTTCCAATCTCTACAAACACTTCTGATTTGGTTTCTTATATATTTTTTTTGGCCTTTTTGGGTCTTGAGCTCCACATTCAAATTTGAATCGCGTATGACTTCACCGTATCTGTGCTGATCTGTTCGCCTGCATTGGTCCACCTTCACCCGTCGCTCTCATTTCCCCCCCACCACAAAGTATCACTGTGTGAGCAACGTGAACTACATCTGAGAACCCTATCCGCTCGGTCCGGACTGATTTCTTGAATTCCCACTCGAAAATCTCTTTTCCGCCTGCATAACCGCGAAAGAAACCACCTGCGTCGGACCATTACTACCTTGAGCGCATTGTCGCGACAACGGCGCTCCGTTCCATCACCCACTTGTGATAGCCTGAGCGGCCGTTACGACCAACCGGCCACAACGATAAATCATGCTCATGCTCGGGGAATGTGAGAAGCTTCTCGGTGAGGGTCTTCTCCGTTTGCCCAAGAAACACAACTTCCGTTATGGCCCCGCCGCCGAGAAGGACCTGCTGGAGCTTCTCTTCCGATCGCTTGTCGGACACAACACAGACCTAATACAACAGCTGTTCCCAGACGGAACACCGGCCGGACCATGGAAATTGGCGGAGGCTCAAGGTGCCCGGGAAGGAGCTGAGTACAGTGAAGCAGCTCGGGGCAAGCGCTGCGGTCATATCTTCCGTGCCGGGGAAGCCACATACCGATGCGTGACCTGTGCCGCCGATGATACATGCGTGTTGTGTAGTCGATGTTTCGATTCCTCGGATCACACTGGACATCAATATCAGATTTCCCTTTCCTCTGGAAACTGTGGCTGCTGTGACTGTGGTGATGACGAAGCATGGCGCCTTCCGCTGTTTTGTGCAATCCATACCGATAGCGATAATACCAAGGGCAAGGAACGAGCGCAGCGGGTATTGCCCTCTGAGCTTGTGGCCTCGATCCGCTTGACTATATCCCGTGCACTAGATTACTTTTGTGATGTCATCTCTTGCTCTCCGGAGCAATTGCGGTTACCGAAGACTGTCGAGAGCATCATGCAAGATGAGGAGGCCTCTCGTTTGCGTCCGGACTGGTATGGCGCCGGCGATGAAGAGGAAGAAGACCCGGAATTTGTGGTCATGCTGTGGAATGATGAGAAGCATACAATTCGCGATGTCTCTCATCAGGTCACGCGTGCTTGCCGTGAACGAGATAGCTTTGGAATTGCGCGCGCTCATGAAACAAACGATATGGGCCGTAGTGCAATCAAATACTCGAGGGATCTAAATAGACTCTTAGGTGTTTCAAAGGTAATTGAGGAGATCAAGGTTACCGTCACGGTGCGCTCTGCGCGCGATACTTTCCGCGAGCAAATGTGCACCACGATAGTGGAGTGGTTGGCTGATATTGCCGGGTGTGAAATCCTCGAGGACAATGAAATCTTCAGGCAAATCATCTGTGAGGAAATGCTTACGCCCTGGAAAAAGGGCAGTGGGGCATATAACGAAGATATCGGCATGAGGGGCATTGATGATCATCAGCGGACTGAGAACCTTCCAGGTCGTACGCTTATGATCAATTTGCCTAATCATGGTCAGGTCATCCTGACCGCCGATGATGACGAAGACGACATGCTTGAAGACGATGTCATAGATGAAGATGAAGACGAAGATTATGTCGAAGCCCACGATGCTGATGATGAGGATGACGATGAAATGGACATCGAACTATCTCGTGATCAGGAAGAAGATGAAGATATGATCTTGGCGGGTGCAGACGAGGAACTTGCTCTCGCAGAACGCATTCTCCATGGACTTACTGGCACCCAGCCCCCACCTCCTCGACCGGCCGAAACCGCAGATCGGCCCTCTGCCGAACGAGGGCCGTCTGAGTCTCAAAGTCCTGGCCCCGAATCCGGCCCTACTGACTATATCCATATCCCCAAGACTCCTGGTTCGCACCGGCCAAGGCCTTCGAACACAGAAAGCCATTGGCAAGTCCGGCCGAGCATTCCCGCCCCAGGTGAAAAAGTACCACCGTATGAAGACCTGTGGCAGCGTACCCGCCTAGACTGGATGGTGCTTTATGACTTGAGGTTGTGGAAGAAAACACGAACCGACTTGCGTGATCTCTACATCAGCACTGTTGTCAATGTTCCTCAGTTCAAGCGCATTATGGGTCTTCGTTTGTCTGCATTGTACACAGCTCTAGCTCAGCTGTACCTCATTGCCGATCGTGAGCCAGACCACTCGATTGTCAATCTTTCATTGCAGCTTCTCACGACCCCCTCCATCACTGAAGAGATTGTCGTGCGAGGTAACTTCCTCACGAAGGTGATGTCTATCCTCTATACCTTCTTGACTACGAGACAAGTCGGCGAACCACAATCTGTCAACCCCAACGCCACGCTTGCATTTGATGCTGGCTCGGTTACAAACAGGCGTCTCTACCACTTCTTCCTTGACCTCCGATACCTTCT